TGCACCATCAACATTCCAGAGAGTAATGGAGAACGTACTAAAAGGACTTACAAGATAAATATATCTAGTCTACATGGACGTCATTATTGTATTTTGAACCTCTCTTTAAGAACACATGGTAAATCTTAAGAAGATCTTTGAGAATTTAAGAGAAACAAGATTTAAATTACAAGTTGGCAAATGTGAATTCCTTAATAAAAACTAATGCACTAGAAATTCAGGGTGAATTCCTAATAAATTGGGAATCTTTGGAATAAGAATATTAAACTACCCTGTATAGACTTAAATTAACCTCTCTTTTGTTTGTTTTAAGGTACTCTGGACATTCAGTAACTACTTAGAGGCAGTAGCTATGATTCCACAGCTGTACATGATGTTCCTGAGTAGAAAAACCACCCGACATATAAAGATGTTTATATCTTTCTTGGTTTTGTACAAAATAATGTACATTTGTGACGCGATTTTCGTATACAACACTTACAATATGTTCGACGCTATAGCTGGGATAGCTAATTTTGTTAATATTATGATAGTCTTCATTGCTGTGGTAATTTGGCGCTGTAGGACAATAATTCAAAAAAACAAGCAGAACGATCTGATGAAATGGAGAAATATATTCCTCGTCAGTGGCAGTTTTGCACAACCTGGAACTACCAAAACAGAGGCTACTTTGATTACAGAAGACGTTTACCAGCCTGTAGTCGATTAGGACGTTGTATAATACATAAGTTTATTTTCATCCTATCTTCTCCTTAGGGTGACATGTTCCTATACAAGGTCGGTGACTACCCTCCTTAGGTTTTTTATTAATTATCTGACTGATTTATTTTATATATTTTACAAATATTCGTAATATTTAACCTTTCTTGTATAATATAAATAAATTATTAGAATATTATATGTTTTTTATTTATGTGTGTAACAATTCCAGCAAAACAGAAGCTATAAGATATCATTTAGCTTTTGTTTATGACGAGGTGTTTGTTGCAGAAAAAATTTCCTCACGTTCAATTAAAAGGTTTCCTATTTCTACTTCTTCTTAAAGTCCCTCCCCATTACTAAAGGTTGGCTATAACCTTCCCTGGGGAAGGAGCTGTAGATCACGTAGTTGGAAAATATGGTCTTGGTCAGAGAAACGACAGAGGGGACAGATTGATACAGTACTGTCAAGACAAAGATCTAGTCATAACGAATACTTGGTATAAGTTACCACCCAGGAGGCTTTACACATGGAAGTCGCCTTTAGACGGACATCAGGGCATTATAAGGAACCAAATAGATTATGTGACAATTAATAGAAGGTACAGGAATGCTATTACTAAGGTATCTGCATTACCTGGAGCAGACATAGGATCCGACCACAACCCCTTAGTAGCAAATATCAAACTGAGGCTCGCTACAGCTAAAAGAAAACACCAGAAGGCATCAGTAAACATTAGAAAACTCAAAAACAATGAAACAAATGAAGCGTACACAGAGGAAATAAACAATAGGTTCTCTAATATGGCAACTGAGAATGATGTTGAAAAGTCATGGACCACCATAAAAGAATCATTTGATGAGTTGAACAACACTTTTCTACTCGAGAGTAAAACAACTACCAAGAATGAGTGGATGACAGAAGAAATATTAGAGATGATGGAACAACGCAGGCAGTGTAAGATCAGGCAGGACGAAGTAGGGTACCGAAATATACACAGTCAAATTCGTAAAGAAATTATAGCGGCGAAGGAGATCTGGATGACTACACTTTGCGCCGAGGCTGAAAGCCTATATAAACTTGGCGACAGCTTCAATCTTCACAAGAAAATTAAGGAAATTGCTGGTGTCTTCAAGAAAAAACAAGTCACTGGTATACATAATGACCAAAATGAATTAATAACGGACCCTAGCGATATACTTAATACTTGGAAAATGTACACAGCCAATTTGTTCAATGATGACAGAACACAAAAACCACCACAACTGGGAGACCATTGGCCCAAGTATTTTGAAAGCTGAAATTGTACACGCTATTAAACTATTAAAAAGTAACAAAACCCCAGGACCAGATGATATGTACGCAGAAACAATCAAGTTACTTAATGAAGAAAACCTAGACATTATTGTCAAGCTCTTTAACGACATCTACGATACGGGCCAGATTCCAAAATATTGGCTTCGATCTACATTTATTGCCCTACCAAAAACACCACGTACGAACTTCTGCAAGGACCACCGACTAATAAGCCTAATGAGTCACTTTTTAAAACTTTTCCTGAGAATACTTCACACTAGATTGTTTAAGAAATGTGAAGAGGTCAGTGGATGGAGTCAGTTTGGTTTCAAAAATGGACTTGGCACGAGAGAAGCGATCTTTAGTATGCAAACATTGATACAGAATTGTTTAGATCAAAGAAAGGATGTTTTTATCTGTTTCATCGATTACGAGAAAGCATTCGATAATGTAAAACATGAATTGATGATAAAATACCTACAAGAGTTGGGATTGGATGCAAAGGATATAAGAATCATCGCCAATCTGTATTGGAATCAGACAGCAACAGTACGTCTTCAAAATTTCAACGAAACAGAAGATTTCTCGATCGATTTGATTTATAAAAACTAGATCATCATCAAGTCAGTTCTATTAGTGTATCTAATACTGCTTTTTTTGTTTAAGTATCTCTTCACCCTCGGTTCTAGTATCATCACCATCATCATTCCGCAACCTCTTGCATCCAATTTTGGATATACGTCTCCTCCATATTCTTCCATTGTTCTCTATCTTGTGTCATCTGTATCGAATTTCCCACTGTTTTTCTCAAGTCATCCATCCATCTTTTTGGTAGTCTACCTCGGTGTCTTTTATCTTCTCTAGGTTTCCATTCTATGAGTCTTTTGGTCCATCTATTATCAATTAAACGTACTACCTATCCAGCCCATCTCCATTTGGCTTGTGCAGTTTTTTCTATGACATCTGTCACTTTATTCCTCTCTTTCTCTCTCCGTTATCCCGTGAGATGTTGTTGGACCTCCATCGGGCGCCTTCTTAGGTGGCGGATAGGGGAATGCCTCCTAGATATAGGTGGTACCGGGGAAATGAAATACTCGTGGCGGACCAAAACCAGTAAACACTGCAGTGTCTGATCCAGAGTGATCGGCTGCAATCAGCATCTGACCCAGAGTGGGCTGCTGAATCGAAACTCAACAAACCCGTTTTAGCAGGCGTGGTGTTTTAATCGCCAAAAAACCCTCAATGAAATGTCGAAGGTTCAGAATTAAAATACTCCAGGCAAGCAGAACGAATCGTATCTAGTATAAGTGCCCTAAAAACTGTTTTCAAGGTATTAGAGCCCTAAACTCTACATTTTTGAACGAATTTTTAATGAGATTACTACGACGAGATTAATGCGACGTAGGTACCTTTGAAATGTGGACATGGAGACGCCTACTTCGAATTCCATGAACGGCTCGCCGTACAAATATCTCGGTTCTGGATGAAATTAAACCGGATCAGCGTCTCTCCAGTACCGTTTACTCTAGAATTTTAAAGTTCTTTGGCCATATCCATCGAAGTGATCACAAAATGGAGCGGTTGGTGGTCCAAGGAAGGCCTCAGACTCAACGCCAACGCGGAAGATCTCCACAGCTATGGGCGGACATTACTAAAAAGTTTCTCAATAAACAGTATACTGGGGCAATACATATAACTGATGACCGCGACCAGTGGAGAAATATTATCAATCAAACTGTCCGAGCTGCTGAAGCCCAATTATGAACCACAACACATCTACTAAGATGTTAATGACTGTGATGATGAGGTACCAAAACTCCTTTTGGCTCCAGCAAGGTTTTCTCGTCTTCACCACTTTTTTAGGCCACGAGCTGCCGCTGGGTTGTCCCTTACCAATGCGAGCTTAATACAATAGAGCTTATATGGACGCAAGCCAAGTATTATGTTGCTGCCAATAACACAAGATTTAAATTTGCTTTCAATAAAAATTTATTCCATGAAGCTATATCTGCTGTAACCATGAAAAAATTGTAAAACTGCGTCAGACATGTAAAAGAAGAAGTAGAGCCAAAAATGTAGGAGTTGGACAATTTAATTGAAGCCCAAATTGAGCCTATCATTATTAACATTAATGATGACAGCAGTACTTCAGATTCTGAAAGTTAATAACGCAAATACGATAATTTTATAAACTTTCTTTTTTCTGCATACGTAAGTACTTTATTTTGTGGTTAATAGCTTTTAGATCTTGTAAATAATTTTTATATTGATGTACTACAATCTGTATCTGTCAAAGTTTGTTTGTTTTATATTGTATCTTTAATTTACTAGTCCGGCCCTGAACAAACGCCTATTTCAAGGTGCATTTCTTTACATCGTCCTAAACTTGAAGTTGAATTTATTTTAGGTACAGTTTCTCTAGTTTTATATTTCAGTATTTTATAATAAGAAGAGTATATTTTTATTACAATTTTTCGTTTCTTTCCATATGGCAATAAGTAATCTGAAAAGCTGCTGTAAAAGATCCTGTATATAAGAAATATACATGTAAAAATTATTTAATAACTACGCCATTGACTAAATTACCGTTACTAAATTTCTTATATTCTTTTCAATATTAGTTAATAAAAATACCAGTTATCGCTATGGTAATTAGTTTTTCGATAAATGCAGAAAGTTACAGCCAAACATAAGGTTACAACAACAAAAAATAAAAAAAACCTAATTATTAGGAAAACCCCAGCATGTTTATGCGATTCCTGAGTCAGAGCTAGTAATCCAACTAAATATTGCATCAAATCCGACGTAACTAAGTCTATAAATGTTTGGTCCGCTATGTTAGTGAGTTCCAGAATCTTGATTGGAAACTCTGAAACAGAGTGAGTGATCAGTGATCGCTTGATCAGTATTATAGAACGTGAATTGTGCTGTGGATGTGTATGCTTGCTCTCTAGATATTTATTTTGTTCCATTCAATTTTAGTTTGTTTTTCAAATTCGAAGAAATGAATGTCTTTAGAATAGCTGGTGATGCTTCGCACACCTTTGCAATGTTATATTTATTATGGAGTATCATAAAAGAGAAGTCATATGTTGGTATGTAGTACATTTTTTATTTCACATTATACTATATTTTTCAAACACTTGCGAGTTCTTAATATAGAGAAAATTCGCTTGTTTACATCATAAAAATGTATTGTGTTGTCAAATGTTGCAACATCTGGTGTATGATAGTCAGTGGTGTAGGTAGGTTGTAGTAACACTTTTAGTAATGGTAGTGAGATGTATTTCTTTATTTGACAGAGCGACAAAACATGATTTTACATTTTATTTTCTTTAATATTAGGTATTTTTTTTAAAAGTAATATAAAAATAGTGTAACATAAAAGTAAAATAGAATAGTAAAGTGAAAAAACATTATAAGGTCGGCCTGCAGTCATAAATGCATTATATTATGTAGAAATAAATTTTGTTCCCTTACTAGACTGCCTAATTATTCCAATTTTCTCTTTTTTATATTTTCTATTGCTTCGATTTGTTATTGCTCAACGGAGTAGAAATTATTTTCGCAGAAAATACAGATTAGTTTCCACTGCAACTGCAACGACTTGCAAGGTTTGTTTGTTTATTTACTTATAGACACAGTATACAAACACGGTAACAAGCTATAAATAAAGAATACATTGATAGCGTTAAAAAGTATTTAGAAAATATAAAAAAAACTCTTAAAACGATTGGAACAATAATTGATCTTTAACCCGGCATCCGTCATGTGAAATTTTGAAACGCTGTTCAACAAGTGGGGTGTCACAAACCCCAAGTTGAATGTGTACGGTGGACGCCTACGCAGAAATGCACGGCACCTTAAGAAGAAGAATATATATATATATATATATATATATATATATATAGAAGAATATATATATATATATATATATATATATATATATATATATTCTTCTTAAGGTGCCGTGCATTTCTGCGTAGGCGTCCACCGTACATCGTCTTGTCAGGTGAGATGTTAAATATTCTGGATTAAATAATTCTGTTTTTAGCAGCATTGCAAAGCATTTCATAGCTGTGGATTACTGTTCATTGTCGAATATTGCGCAGCCATGACATTTTTTTACGTCCGAGACCTCTCCTACCCTCTATCTTCCCTTCGAGTATCAGTTGCTGATAGTTAGTTTTTCGTTATCGACCATCAAATAATTAAAATAAATGTATATTATCAGGCTTTTTGGTCAGAAAATAAAACGATTTTTTTTTCGTAAACTCAATATTTCGCCATTTGGTTTATGGCTTTTTCAAGAGCGCACTAAAAAATTATTTATTGATAGAATAAAAAAAATCAAACACAACATCTTGAGTGACAGACTAAAAATATTAAAACACAAACAAATCTTCATGAGTGACAAACTAAAATTCAACTAAAATAATACCTGATTATGTTTAATTGTCCTACAATTTAATCAGTGACGTGCAGAAACTAATATATTTTATAAATTAAAAAGATTTTAAGATGTTACAATAAATGGAACTAAGTCCGTTAGCGTCTGTTTTGTTGTTAATAGCATTATCTGTCCTGCTTATATTGCACATTTCGAGAAATAGCCTATTTTTGTAATTTGAGACTGATTGTATTATTTTTACATTATCAAAATCAAATTCATGACCTGTCTTGATGGAATGTTCAACAACAGCGCATGTATTTTTACCCCTTCTGCAATCACTTCTGTGTTGAGTGACCCGTTGTTTCAACCATTGTCCGGTTTGACCAATGTAGCATCCCTGGCATCCTAAACATTGCAATTTGTAAATGACGTTACTATTGTACATGGTTGGTGTATGATCTTTGGTTTTAGAAAATAAGTTGTTGCATTTAAAATTGCTGTATTTACTAATTATTGTTGTATTGGTGTAGCTCTTAAATATTGATGTTAGTTGATTTGGTAGACCAGGAATATATGGTAGTTTTTTATATCTGGTTTCTTCGGGGGGTTTGTCTATTTATCCGTCATTTGCAGTAGTATTGAATGTAGTCTATATTAAAACAACTAATATTAGTTACTGATTCCTTTCAGTATTTGGGATTCTTTTTTCTTTTAATATATTGTTAAAAACGAAATGTAGAGTATTAATTACCACTTTTTCACCATATTTCAGCATCTCTGCAGTTATTCCATCTTTTCCCAGCGATTTGTTGTTTTTCATTTTTTTCAATGCCTTCTTTATTTCTGATTTGCTTATTTCTGGTTATAGCTCTAAATTGACAGTTTTTATTTTAGCCTTAAGTTGGTTTTTAATTTCTTCTGGTGGTTCCATTTTTGTTTTATATAATTCTGAGTAGAAATGGTGGATCATATTTATGATGTCATCTTTAACGTTTGTTTCTACTTCATTTACATATTTTATTTTGTTTATTTCAAACTTCATTCTGCTTATTGCTTTATTGATTTCTACATATTCTATAGATTTCCTTTTGCCTTCTTCGTTCAGCTTCATAAGTTTCCTTGTTTCTGTTGATATATAGTTGTTCTTTTTTAGATTCTTTTTGCTATTTCTTTTCCTGATGTAATCATCGTTGCTCTAAGTATGTTGTCTATTTCGTCTATATCTTTATCATCACTGTCTAATTTTTGGGTAAGTTCTTCTTTCAATAGGTTTTTGTATATCTCTTTATATTGCCCTAGTTTGTTTTTATCTACTAGATCCCAGTTTCTAATTATTTTTCTTGTCATTTTATAGTTACCGTTATTTTTGCTCTGACCATCCTGTGATCGCTACCTGTTGTGAATCTGTTCAGAACTGTTACATCTTTAATGATATATTTAGTTAGAAACGAAGTTAAGAATATTTTAAAAAAATTATATCTCCATTTACAAACATTGAGAAGTAAAATTTGCACAAATTTTAAATGAAAATCTAAACTTCATATTGAAACTTATAGCTATAAAACTCATCCAGTTTTTCGAAACTTACAGCCATTCAAAACGAAGGAACTTTCGAAAGATCGACATAGGAAAGTGGAGGGGATACCTCTTTAAGCTGCGTTCTTTTTTTTCGAGATCGGAACTTCAAATTGAAACACGTAGGAACAATTTATATTATCTCGGCTTCCATTGCAGCTAGAAGCCTCTTTTTTTAATCTGGGGTAGCACGTCGAAGTATAAGTTTTCACTATGTTGTTGGAGCGTTATCAAGAATGGATGAGTTGGAGCGTTATCAATAAGCAATAATGTTTTCTCTTTTTTACCATTTTTTAATGATGGGCTTTAGGGGACGGTATAAAAGTTCCTATAAACTATTCCATGAAAATTGGACTATTCATCTCAGCACTCTTTTGCATATAGTATAAACGATAGGCATCGCATTCATATTATATATAAGGTTCTTGAACTCCTAAGTGGAGCATAGAGCTTCAGTGAAACCGCGCCATCGGGTTCTATTTTGCGCTAAGGCCTTCACCTCATTCCAAGACTTTCCTTGTTTTCTTATCTCGTCCATGATAAATCTTCTCCAAGTTTGTACTGGGCGACCTTTTTTTCGTTTTCCTTGGGGATTCCACTCTAGGGCAGTCTTTGCAATACTGGAGTTATTTTTTCGGAGTGTGTGACCGATCCAACCCCACTTTCTGGACTTTATTTCATTTACTACCCTCTTTTGTTTGGTCAGGTGTAGTAAATCTTCGTTTCTGATGATGTTAGGCCAGAAAATACGAACAATTCTTCGTAGACATTTATTAACAAAGAACTGCAGTTTGTCTGTAAGGGTTTTTGTCGCTTTCCAGGTTTCACATCCGTAAAGTAGTACAGACATGACATTTGACTGGAATATGCGGATCTTTGTCCTCGTAGTGTATTCTCCAGACCTCCAAACAGGGTTGAGCATGCTGAAAGCTTGTTGCGCTTTTCGTATCCTCATACGAATATCGTCTTCTGTACCTCCGCTTTCTGTTATGACACTTCCAAGATACGTAAAGTTTTCCACATTTTCAATCTGCATGTTATTAATGGTGAATAGCGTGTTGTTTCTTGCGTTTATTCTCATGGATTTGGTTTTACCAATATTGATTTTCAAACCTATTTTATTGGCTTCAGTGGAAAGTATTTCCAATTGGTCAGCCACATCTTGGAACCTTTGCCCTAACAGGCAGATATCGTCGGCGTATTCTAGATCGCTTAGGCGTGTGGTTAGCGTCCATTGTATCCCTCTTGTGTTAGAGTCTAGTTTGGAGAGAACATAGTCTAGAGCTATGTTAAAAAGAAACGGAGAAAGCACGCATCCCTGTCTAACTCCAGTAAGTACGTCAAATTCGTCACTGTTGATCCCATTGTGTGTCACGCTGCATTTCGCTTCAGTGTACAGTAACTTTATAATGGAAATTATTTTATGCGGGATGTTTCTTAGCTCTAAAATTTTCCATATCGCATCATGAGATAAGCTGTCAAAAGCACGCTCGAAATCAACAAAAACCATATATAGGGGTGCGTTCCATTCAACCGATTGTTCCATTATTAGCCTCACAGTATTAATGTGGTCTATGCAGGAGGATTCTGGTCTAAAGCCTACTTGATTAGCTCGAAATTCAACCTTGTTTGTTAATCTTTTAAGTATGATGGTCGTGAAGATTTTATTCATCGCATTTTATTTATCGCATTCATATTAACGTGTTTAAAACAACGTGGTTTCTTACTTTTACCAATGACAAGCATAGGTAATCGGTGGCTGCCAGTAGCCATTAGCACAAGCTAAGGCAGTGATACGATCCTTGATTATTTTAGGTCCAGGTGCTGCTAATTCACGCCGTGGCGAAAGAGTTTTTCGTGGCAAAGCTTTCCAATTTGGCCAAGTTTCGCCTGAATTATAAACGTTTTTGAGTGCGTAATGTTCTTCCTTCAGTAATTCACTTAGTCTTATTTTGAATGACTCTGCTGCTGATGAATCAGCAGATAGTTTTTCTCATTGTATTTGAAGCTCACGAATGCCATGTCTCGAGTAAAATCGTTTTAACCAGCCTGTGTTTGCTTGAAAATTTGATGAACCTCCGAGTTTTTCATTGAATTGAACTGCTTTTTCACACAGACTAGGACCAGAAATAGGTTTTCTCTGGGATGTGTTTTGAGTAAACCACTTATTTACAGCATCATATAAATCCGTGTTTGGGGCAAGTTTCGTAGTTACGACTTGTGGATCCGTCAGAAGAATCAAGCTGGGACATAAAGTTACTTATGCTTGTTTTGTTTTTTTTATATCCGTTTTGGTAGATTTACCAACTTTGCACTCATTTGGTAACTTGGTTGCAGATTCACCTTCCTCTAACAGTTTATTAATAAGTCAAGTCAAGTCAAATTTATTGATCACATGCGACATTATACAAAGTACATGTATGAGACAAAAAAATACAGACATAAATCTTAAAATTATATAAATTAATTAAACACGATAAAACATACTTAAAAATTATTTTTAGAATATGGCTCTAGCTCACAAATGTATTGATGTACACACCTCCGAAAGTTTGGCTGATGTAAATTCATTCGTATATCTATTGGTAATTTGTTAAAGAAACTTATGGCTGCATAATGTGTGCTACCTTCCAACAAAACAGAACGATGTTGTGGAAGCATAAAGTGATTGTCTCTGAATCTTGTTGAATAAACATGGTCAAATTGAAATTTATTAAATTCATAAATTTTGCTGTGCAAATACATTATACACGAAAATATATACATAGACCAGGAATTGTCAGAATATTGTTTTGTCTAAAGATGCCTCTACAAGAATCTCTAAATTTCATTTTATACATTATCCTAATAGCTTTTTTCTGAAGTACGAATATCTGCTCTAATTCAGAGGTACAACCCCAGACTTCAATGCCATATTTGGCTATTGAGTAAAAATGGGCAAAGTATACTGTTTTTAATATTGATGTATGAAAGAAACGTGAAAGAATTCTTAATGCATAACATGCGCTACTTAATCTGGATTTCAAATTAGAAATGTGGTCTGACCATTTACAATTACTGTCTAGAAGTACCCCCAGCAACTTCGTGCAGTCTGTTTTATCTACTGCTGCTTCTATAGTGGCTTGATGGTTTAATAAATTATTTGACGTGAAAATGATATACTTTGATTTCTCTTCATTCAAAACTAATTTGTTGGATAAGAAATAACTTTTGATGGTGGATAGTATCTGTGAAGTTTTATTTTGAAAATTTTGATCAGACGTTCCTGTGACTAGAATGTTGGTATCATCCGCATAACTGATAATGTTAACCCCAGTCAGTGAATTAGTTACCAAAGTTATACCATTAATAAATACTATAAAAAGTAGAGGACCCAATACACTACCCTGAGGGATACCATAATGGATATCCAATGTGTTTGATTCGTTTACAAGTCCATTAGATGTTATCTTTACTTTTTGTCTTCTATTCTCTAGGTAGGAAGTAAACCATTTTAGAACTATACCACGAATACCAATCCCCTCAAGTTTTATTAGCAACAAATTATGATCCAAAGTGTCAAAAGCCTTGGACACATCGAGAAATAAACCACATGCCTTCTCTCGTCTGTCCAAAGCAACCAACACTAAGCTGACGAAATTTGCAAGAGCTGTAGTTGTAGACTTAGAAGATATAAAACCATGTTGAAAATTATGCAAGATACCATGCTTTTTCAGAAATCCGTTCATTCTAGTCAATTATCTTTGAAAACACAGATAAGAGACTTATGGGACGATAGTTGTTAAGGTCATCTTTATCGCCACTTTTGAATAAAGGGATTACAATAGATAGTTTAAACATACTAGGAAATATTCCTTGTTGAAAAGAGGCATTGCAAATATCCGTCAGTGGATCTGCGAGAGCATGAATGCATTGTTTTAATAACTTAGGGGAAATCTGATCAAAACCACAACTGTGTTTGGATTTAAAACTTCCGACTATACTAGTTATTTCCTGTGGGTTAGTTGGATATAAAAACATAGATGAACTATTACGGTTTTTTGATGCTGATGTAAACTCATCTATTTTAGTAGGATCCAAAGCGGCAAGTAACTTTGGAGCCATTTCAACAAAATGGTGGTTAAATTTGTCTGCTAAATTACTGTTATCATCACTAGGTACTTTTGAGTTATTTTGTTTCCCGACTGTTAAGTTTACTAAACGCCAAATACATTTAATTTTATTTGATGATTCGTTTAACTGTCTCATGAAGTGACTACTTTTAGCAGCTTTTAATTTAATTGAATATTCTGCCTTTGCCAAATGAAGGACTGGCCTAAGACTACTATTTTGCTGACAGATCGTTTCTAAAAGTTTTAGCTGATCCCTTAAATTGTACAGTTCCTGCGTAAACCAATTCGAACGTGTACTTTTTTTAAGTTTACATTTAAGTAGTGGAAAATGGGAACGAAAATAATTTTGGATAGTATTTAAAAAAGCTAATGATTTATCCTCAGCAGAAATTGTAATAAATACCTCTGACCAATTTGTTGACTCAAGGGTTTGAACAAAACGATTTATGTTCCTTTCACTATATGAACGGATGAATATATAGGCATCATTGTCTGTGTTAATGCTACATTGGAATATTTGCGCACGATGATCAGAGATAAAACCTTCCACAACCATTGTTTTTTGTGGGTGATTTATGTTTGTAGCAATATAGTCAATTTGAGTTTTACTAGTTGCAGTTACTCTTGTATAATCATTCACAGTTACAGTTAAGCCATAAGAATCTAAAACATTTACCAAGTTCTGCTTACTTAATGCATTTGATTTGAAATCTATATTAAAATCACCTGTTAATATTATACATTTCCTTCGGAGACTAGCACATCAAGTATTAGATCCAGTTTTGACATAAAAACATCAATAGAGCCACTTCCAGTCAGATAAATACACAACACAACACAATTAAAAAGCAATATTAGACAACACGCTTACTTTTAGGCATTTTCTATCAAAAAGTGTTTGCTTTTGACGCGACAAAATTTCGTTTATCGTGTATCGGTAACAGAAGTATTATTTTACTTCAATATTCGAGTTTTTTTAACTATTTGGTATACAGTCAACTCTCGTAAAAAATCCCTTTTTAAATTGACTACTAATTTATATAAGCGAATGATTTTTGGCTTTACACACTATTTTAGTAGTTTTAATTAGTCAACTTACTAGTTTATAATAATATATTACTATTTGATACGTTATTTTTTAGGTGTATCTGCCAAGACGCAGCTTCTCTATACTGCAGTATTTATCACCAGATATGTTGACTTATTTTCGTACTTCATATCATATTACAACACCATAATGAAAGTGTTCTACATAATTATCTCAGCATGCACGTTTTTACTTGCGTTTAAAATGGAGAGTACATACGAAAAGAAATATGACAGCTTTTGGTCCGAAATTCTCATTGCTGGGGCATTGATTGTGGCAGTGTTCTGTAGTCACAGTTTAGAAGCTATGGAAGTAAGTTTTATATTTACACTCTAATTAAATACATCACTTGTTTTTTTTCGAAAAATGAACACATATAAAGTACAATGCATACATTAAGTTTGGGGTCAATAGATTAAAGGTTATTAAAATGACGATCTGTGATACTTTAGCAATTAAAGTAAAAACACTTTATGAACATTATGAAGATGAAAAGAGGAAGAATGGAAAAGCTGCAGGTAATACGCGATACCAAACGAACTGCTCAAATAATATAGAGCAAACATAATGGAACTATCAGCATTCATTAATAACATTATAAAACATAATAAAATACCTAAATAATGGGGAATCAGCTAACTAATTACACACGTCAAAAACTGCCAGAAAACTACAGAGTTGTACAAAAAATAGACTGGCAGGATCCCTTAATAATAGTACAAAGCAAAAGCGAAATATTAACACTGAAATTCTTCGTCTTCTTTATTCTTGTATGCAGGCTTTAAACCCTGTTTCTTCTTCAGTTTTTTCTTTTTCTTTCAGTGCCCTTTCCGATTATCCAACGTTGGCGATCATATTGGCAATAATAACTTTGTTTACGGCGGCTCTAAATAAATTACCGGTGGTTTCTTGATACCATTCTCGGAGATTTAGGATCCAGGATGTTCTTCGTCGGCCTGGGCCCCTCCTTCCGGCGATCTTACCCTGTATTATGAGCTGTTGAAGGTTATACCTCTATGGATGTCTCATTACATGACCGAAATATTGTAACTCTTCAGTTTAGCCAACTAAATTGTTTCAATTATCGCACCATCTTTTTCTTGGTTTGCTAATACTTTTTTGTTCATTTGGTAACTTATCTTGTGCTATTCGTACTATCCTATCCTCTGGCATTCTACTAAAGTGTTCGTTCCACTCCTGTTTCCGTTTTGTCATCCATCCATCCATTTATTTTTTCTATATTGCATGCTCTTCTTAGGTTTTCCCTTTTCTCCACATCCAACAGACTTTTCCCTGATATTCGTAGGAGTATTTTCATCTCTGTTGTTTCTAGTAGTCGTCTTGTTTTAGATGTGTCAGGTCCTGCCTCCCCGTGTATGTTAATATAGGTGTAATTGCTGCTTTATAGATTCTTGTATTTGTGTTTTGTCTTAGGTGTTTGTTCTTTCAAATTATAGTGAATCATTATGGGTATATCATTAAGAGATCCGCCGCTATACTTGCTTTTAAAATTTGTTGTCGTACTTCTTCTTCAACATCTCCGTAACTAGTTATATCTATTCCCAGATATCTAAACCTTGCTTCCTGCTTTATTATTTTCCCATCAATTTCGATTTTACATCATAGTGGGTATTTAGATGTCATATATTTGGTTTTCTCCGCCGATATTATCATATTGTATTGGCTTTTGTGTTGAAGATATGTGTTAATTTTTGGAGCTCGCCTTTTTTCTCGGCGATTAATGCGGTGTCTTCTGCATAACACAATATTTGGATTCCTTTGTTTCCCATTCTGTAACCAAGACCTTTACGTACTTCTTGTATTATTTCGTCCATTATTATATGAAAGAGAAGTGGGCTTAACGAGTCACCCTGTCTGACTCCGCTTTGTGCTGGTATACACTGTGAAAGTTTTCCATTTACAATCAACACATTAGAAACACAACCCAACACAGCTACAAGACAATGGTTGTTAGTAACGGTGAAGGTGAGACTACTGAGAAGAATTACAGGAAACGCGCTGAAAGACCTTTTGGTAAAACCTTTTGGCAAGTGATGGAGTGACAATCTTTTATAGAGGTATTAATCCGCCAATGAAAAAGCAGAATTGCTTTCATCGAGACAGAGGAAGAAGCAGAAGATTTTAAATATACTGTGTGTCACATTTCGACATAATAGTTGCAGAATTTGTAAACTATATGTCCGATATCGTAGAATTGCATCGGGTTAAAACAAGTTGCCCCTTTCTTTTCTTTTATTTATACTTTTCGAGGAATCAGAATATTAAAAATCCTTGTATAGGTTTATTTAACTTCACTTTTGTTTATTTTAAGGTACTCTGGACATTCAGTCAGTACTTAGAAGCAGTAGTTATTATTCCGCAGATGTACATGATATTCCAGAGTGAAACAATCACCCAACACATGAAGGTGTATCTATTCTTTTTGCTTCTGTACAAAATAATGTACATTTGCAACTGGATCTACAGATACAATATGTACAAACAGTTCGACGCTATATCCAAGATATCAGGTTTTGTTAGTGTTATGATATTCTTCCTTTCTGTGGTAATTTTGAGCTACAGTAAAATCACCACTCACGAATATGAACAGAAGGGTATGACAAAATTGAAAAATATATTCCTCATCAGTCGTGGTTTTGCATCACCTGGAGCTGCCATAACAGAAGTTCCTTTGGTTACAGAACACGTTTACCAACCTGTGGTCGTGTAGGATGTTATAGAAAACTGAAGTCACTAATTTTATTTTCATCCCATATTTGTCGAAACTTTTTAACCTTTCTTGTAATGATGCCTTCATGTAATCCAAATAAATTATAGGAATATTATATATGTTTTTATAAACTAAAACAACAAGATTGGAATTCTGAATAGATAGATCACTTACGGAACTTAGATTATCACCAAGAGAGAAGGAAGGGTCTGGAATACTATGGCAACTTATCTATTTCCATAGTGCCTTTCAGAGGGATTTCGATCAACCAATTCGAAGTGTCCTCTGCATAGATTCCATCCTTGGTGGATTATTGTTAATCCTTACATCGGTAATGAAATAAAAACACATTTTTAAAAGAAAAAATATTTCAGTCAAGAGTCTAGGTTCGTAGAATGGGAGCAGATCCCCTAGGATATAGAAAACTCTGTATGGGAGCTGGAGCAAGACTAACCTGTGACTTGAAAACTTCCCATATATCTACATTTCTTTTTGTCTTAATATGGACATTTTCAGGTCAGTTGACCAATAGTGAAAATTGTAGAGGTTTTGAGGTGGGGCGATATGTTCATCGGAGTGCGTATTAGTGCGCGACATAATGGTATCAGACACGGGAATTTACTAAGCCCTATTCTGTTTAATCTAATCCTGGATGAAGCCAGAAAGAGTGTCAACAAAGAAAGAGAACAGAATGGAAAACAGAGAAGAAAAATATACTGTGTTACGCAAACGACGTAATATTAATAGCCAACGATGAAGGTAGTGTACAAAGAATAGCCCATACAAAACAATTTAATATCACAATCTCAACTCAGCAAACCAAATTAATAATGACACTGTACTACTATGGAAAGCTAAAGAGAGAACAGATCCAATACAAAAGAAAATCGACTCGCAAGATGCTTTATTAATACTACATAGCAAAACCGAAATATTAACACAGATAAAATTAAAATTGATGGAGCCAGTATAAGACCAATAACGACGTACGCTTCAGTAACAAGAACCAAAAGAGCTACAATACAAATGCTGTTGTATGAAACGGCTGGACATAATCATCAGATGATCCAGCCCTTTGCGTCCACTGCTGGACATAGGCCTCCCTCATTTTGTCCATTGTGCTCTATCTTAATCAAAATCTATAAATCCATCGTCAGACCTGTAATAAAATAAGGATGCAGAACGTGGACCATGACCAAAGCAAACGAAGAAAAGACGTCTTGAACGAAAAATACTTGGAACAATTTTCTGACCTCACCATGACATCACCGAGAGACTTATAAAACGAGAGACTTATAAAACTGGTATGAGAGGAGATTCCCACAGGCAAAAGACCACTCGAACATCCCAGAATGCGATGGAGAGATAACATCCAAGCAGATCTCTTTAAAATTAACATTCCATTTGACTCTAGGTTGATGGAAGACCGAATAAATTGGAAAAAAGTTGTACAATCAGCCAAGACCCACCCAGGGTTGTGGCGCTACCTGATGATGATGATGCTCTATCTTGAGCACTTTTCATCCAATTCAGGTGACGTGTCCGGCTCAGTTCCATTTTAGTGTGGCAATTCGGAAAATTACATCGGTACCTCCTGTTCTTCGTCTTAGTCCTCATTTCTAACTCGGTCACGAAGCGATGTACTTAGCATTGACATTTCCATTTTCTTTTGAGTTATTTTTCAGCAATTTAGAAGTTGTAGCAGCAACGTCAAAGGTCATCACATGCAACACACATTGGTCAAATGTTGTCACTATAGGGAGGTTAGGGTTTTCACAGGAAATAACTCCATATTAGCTCCCAATATCTACAGAGAACTCTTTTTAGTCAGTCCGAAGTTGCCTCTGCGTTTCTATCTAAATTTAGTAGGATGATTAAATAAAACTCGGTTTTGAAGTCGAAAAAGGTCCTAACAAGAGAGTCTCAGGACAAACAGGGAGCAGAGCACAGTGAAGAAGGCCCCCAGGTGTAGAAGACCCTACATGGGGACCGGAGTAAAGCTAGGCTGACTACTACCCATGGCTTGGAAATACACCCTTTTTATACACTTTATTTCGTATCGATATGTGCATTTCCAAGTCCATCGGCCAATTATAAATTTCGTATGAGGTAGAAAGGCAGGGCAATGCGCATCGACGTGCTCATTGGTCCACGGACTAAGGCACGCGATGACAATGTTTTACGTTTTAAAGAAATTGGTATATCGCTTTTAAAGATGTCTTTGAGTTTTCCATAGGCTGTCCATGCTAGGTTGATTCTTCTTCGTAGTTCGTATGTTTGGTTGTCTCTTTCGTGGTATTTTTCCACCACCTATATATTCAAGGTATATGTATTTTTCCACCAGCTCTACTTCGTTGTCCCCAATATTTGACATAATAATACTGAGATAAATTAGAGGAACCACGCTGAGAAACCTTTTGGCAATAGATGCGTGACAACCTTTTATAAAGATATTAATCTGCTAATGAAGGCAAAATTGCTTATAACGAGGAAGATAAAGAAGAAGCATTTAAATATGCGGTGTGTAACATTTGAACGTAACAGTTATAGAATTTGCAAAATATACATCCGATGTCATAGAAATTACATTCAGTTAAAACAAGTGACTTAATTTTTTTAATTTTATTTGAATTTAGTGGAATCTTTGTGAGGAATAACAATATTAAATTACTTTGTATAGGTTTAAATAATGATTAATAGGTTTAATTAACCTCAATTTTGTTTGTTTTAAGATACTGTGGACATTCAGTCAGTACTTAGAAGCAGTAGTTATCATTCCGCAGATGTACATGATCTTCCAGAGTAAAAAAATCACCCGACACATGAAGGTATACCTTTTCTTTTTGGTTCTATACAAAGCAATGTACATTTGCAACTGGACCTACAGATACAATGTGGAGAACCGTTTCGACCCTATATCTGATATTTCTGGTTTTGTTGATGTTATGATATTCTTCATTGCTGTGGCAATTTTGCGCTGCACTAATATAACAATTCACGAATATGAACAGAAGGATGTGACGAAATGGAAAAATATATTTCTCATTAGTGGTGGATTTGCACAACCTGGAGCTACCAAATCAGAAGCTCCTTTGGTTACAGAACACGTTTATCAACCTGTAGTCGTGTAGGATTAGAATAATAAATTCACTTTTTTCAAGTCATATTTTTAAACCATATTTTACGAAATATTTAGCCTGTTTTGTGTAATATAAATAAATTTTACGATTATTATATGTTTTTTATTTCCACGTGAAACAGTTGCAGTACAACCTAATCTGGTCCCGATAAGAATTTCCTTTCAAATGGAGGGAAGCTAAATGCCTGTAAAAAAGCAGCTCCCTTCATAACTCTCCAAATTCGTTTAGGCCAATCTCCATAACATGTAACCTTTGCAAATTATTTAAAAAATAATTTAATCACAGTAATTTATGATATAGAAAGTGTAAGCTACAACATGTAAGTCAGTTATCCGTAAAAAACTGGTAGAAAATAATCTTACGGACAACATATTATGCTTTATAAAGAACTTTTTAAATGATAGAAATTTCAGAATCACAGTTAACGGAGTATTTATCACTGAAAATAGTGTACTCCAAGGTTATACTTTGAGTTCTATCCTCTTTCTACTAGCCATCAATTTGTCTTAATTAAATTTGCCCTACATGCAGACGACATTATTGTATACTGTCAAGGAAAATCCACAGCTGCAAGCTCATCTTTATTACAAAGTTCTGTGAAATCCCTTACTACATGGTCCGAGAAACTGGCTTCAGGTTCTCTTTTATTATTATTTAAGCAGAATGAATTTGTTAAAGAAATATTGTTCCACCATCAAAGGGGTACCGATGAAAGTGTACTACTCAAAATATATCGAGCTATAATCTGATCCAAATTAGACTATGGTTGTATAGTTTACTTGTCCGCATTCAATAATTTATTACAATCGTAAACATCGGTTCACAACACTGCTCTCCGAATATGGTTAGGAGCATTTAGATCCAGTCCTGCTGAAAGTCTGTATTTTGAATATCATGGACTCACCAGTCACCCTTTACCTTCGGAGGCAGCAACTACTCCTATCTTATGCTAGCAGAATTTCATCGAATCCGACTAAGCCTGTATTTAATCTTGGGACTTAACCAAGAACTGGACTCGTAAACTCGCCTAGATATATATTTTCAATCCCACAGATCTTATAACCCTTGTGCCAAGACACAAAATTATCTCAAACACTTGAATTAGGACAATACCGAATATCCAACGAATGTAGCGTGTTTTCAGGAGGACTCTTCAGTATTTCGAAAGCTCTCGAGTTCCCTTTTGACAATGATCAAAATGTAGCTCTGTGCACCGATTCCTTATCCGCAATTCATCCGTTAGAAAATATTTACAATCATCATCAAAAGTGCAAAAAATACTAGAATAAATCCATCTCCACACTTCCCGAGGGACTTTAATAACAATAATATGGGTGTCTTCTCATATTGGCATCCAATGAAATGAGATGACTGACAGAACTACAAAAGAAGAATCTGCTTCCAACTTACCCGTCTACAATATACAAGCTTCAAGAAGATATGAAAGCTAAACAGAAAAGAGAAGATTGAGGATAGGACACACACGGTCACCATGTCCTTTACTGACCAACAGTTATGCTCCTACTGCAGCGATATTCGTATTACTGTCAAGCACATCCTCACAGAATGTCAACACTACCAGGCCACTCGCATTGCCAACAATATAATTCACAGAAACTTCTGAACTGCTCAAATATATATATATATTCGTATGAACTTTACACATTGCAGTTTTTACATAAAGAAAAGGAAGAAAAAAAGTGACAATAACAATAATAAATAAGTAAGTAAATAAGTAAACATTGACACAGAACATATAAAATTAAAATTATTAAATTAAAGTCGAAGGTTACATCCTCGAAGCCAATTTCTCGCCTTGGGAGTAAGTTGGTGGATTTCTTGAAGGCTGCCAAAGAACTTGGTGGCTGGACACTCAAAGACGACTTGGTTAATTGTTTGTTCAGCAGCGCTGCTTTTGTCACATTCCGGGCTGGCATTTATACCCCATTGATTCAGCGATTTGTTACAAATTCCATGACCAACTCGTATTCTATTTAGGTTGCACCATTCACGACGGGGAAGAGAAAAGCCGTCTGGTTTGATTGTGGGGTTTTCTATCAGATTGGAATTTCTTATATCTGGATTCCATTCGCCCATCCAGTGCTCTTCGGTAGTGAAACCAGCCAATTTTGTAGCAGTTCTAGTAGGTGGATGTCTGGATTTCAGTCTTAACTGCTTTGGTGTAGTTCAGCGATGTCTGTGTTTATCGGTAGTTCTGGATTTTGTTGGCATTTTTTAACTCGAGTGTTGAGTGCGGCTAGTCGTCTTGTTGCTGGTGGAGCGATGTTGCTTAAAACTGGAAGCCATTGGGTTGGTGTGGGCTTTATAGTTCCCGTTATGTGCCTCATTGTTTGGTTTAACTGGGTATCTATGACTTTTGTGTGATGAGTGTTTAGCCAAACAGGAACGCAATATTCTGCAGTATGATATACTAAGGACAGTAGGATATACAGTTTTCCGAATGCTTTTTGAATGATAGGGTACGATCTAGAGTTACGCCGAGGTATTTTGGGTTAGCACTGTGCTTTAGACTGGTATCATCGCATTCTATGTTTAGTCTGTAATTTGCCTTGTTGTATTTAGATGGAAAGCTGTTACTTCAGTTTTCGATGGGTTTGGTTGTAGGCCCCATTTCTTAAAGTATTTGTTAACAGTGTTTAGATCTGCTTCTATGATGGATTTGGCGATGTTTATGTCTTCTTCTTGGGTACCCAAAGCCATGTCATCGGCATAAATAAATTTGCGCGAGGTGGTAGTTGGTACATCTGACGTATAAATATTAAAAAGAAGAGGAGACATAACTGACCCTTGTGGTAAGCCATTTTGCAGGTTTTTGAAGTTACTATTTTTCCCATTTAGGTGTATTTGGAACAGTCTGTCACTTAGCATTTGGTTTAACAACCTGTTGAACGCACGGCACGGTATCCTATGTGATTGCACTACATGATATCCTATGTGATTGTCCGACACTTAGATTTTATAAATTTTTAGAATATATTTCCAAAAATTCACAAGGAAACTAAATTCGGTAAACCTGTAGTCGGTTGTATACCAGGTATCACAAAAATTTGTATTAAAAAATTTCCTTTATAAAATGTATAATGATAAAATTTATTATTATACCTATCTTTTATAAAGGAAATTTTTTAAATATTATTTATTTTTATTCTAAAAATGTACGCCATTGACTTAGTAATGGGATTTTATTACTTGGATTTCCCATGGCGTTGTAAATTCCAATTTACCAGGTTTAAGCGGCTGAGTGATAAAGATGGAATATGCCACGGCATCTATTATAAGCGAAGGACAACTATATGGTAAATATTGGTTCGAAAACGTGACTTGCTGCTTGAATCTCATATAGTCTCCCATCTCAATACAACACTGTAGTTATGACACGAAATCATAGCGATAGTGTAACTGGTTGGCTTGCTGTGGAAATCAGTTTAAAAGTTGATCAACAGATGGAGTTCAAACACAATAACTGGTGTATTTTCGCATTCTGATGTGTGGTAATTATTTGATCTGTTGCAGTAATAATAATATCGACATTAAATTAATAATAAACAAAATAGCAGTTCTGTCCCAGTATAACTTGTATAGTATACTGTAACAGAATAGAATTTATGAAGATGAATAATAATTCTAAAATATTTTATTATATACCTATTTGTTTATTTAGATTAATTCTGAATATAATTAGAAAATATACGGATATTAAATAAGAAATTTCCCACTTTTTAATATCAGGAAATAACTGGTCAAACTTAATATAATTATAGACGTTAAAATAAACGCCGATAAAATTTTAGAAATAATGAAGACTGAAGGTGGAAAACACATAGATTCTTGCCTTGTTATGAATAAAATAATTATATACCACCACAGAAATAATCAAAGTATGTTGTTGACAAACAACTTATAGTTCATTCAAAAATATAGTGTCCAGTTTTTGAATACTACTAACAAATAATTATAGTTGCAATTCTGTACCTCGAGAGTCAGATGAACGTAAGTCCAAAAATTGTGATTTTCGGGTTTTTGATGTTTTGTGTGTAAAATTTAATTCTACATCGAGCCATAATACCGTAACTCCTTTAAAAATTATACTTTCCAAATTAGCCAAGGTTATAAGAGCGTAAGTCCTTACCCATATTAGAGCCATCCAAACCTAACTCCACTTACTACATTATGGCTCTGAGGTTTTGCTTGAAACCTATAAAACGTAAGTCCAAGCTGGACCTAAATAGGCCTAGGCTTTTGAACAGGCCTGTAGAGAATGCAGCTCAACTGGTTCCTTATAGTGACTCTGATACAAAAGACAATATAAACTTAGGGAGTCAAGAAAAAGGCAAAAAGCAAGTAAGACGTGAAAAAAAAATAGAAGGAAGAAGAATAGACTTACTCCGAAGGAATATGTTAACACAAAAAATATGGTTGTTAAAAAAATATCAATAAAACCCTTTTGTTATGATAACTGTCGCCTAGTGTAACCAGAGGTTTACAGAAGAAGACAGATTAAAAATACACTCTGAATATTGGAATGCTGAAAGAAACTGGGACTCAAAACGGCAGTTTGTATTGTCTTGTATAAAAACGAAGCCAGTTAATAGGCAACGTCAGAGAGACGGGACAAGAAAGACCAAATCTGAAAGTCATTCGTTTTTTTTTAATTACATAAAAAAGAGAAAGTAATTTGCAAAATATTCTTCTTAAATACACTTTCAATTTCAGAAACTTTCATGAGAATAGCCACAACAAGGCCAGTGCATCTGGATTGGTAACTACAGACCCTAGGGGAAAACATATGCCCGGTAATAAAATACCTAGAGATAGACTACAACGAATTAAAAATTATATTTCAAAGTTCCCTGTATATTTGGGAAATCACTTAAACATTTCTAAAATGTATGCATTGTATGAGGAAGAGTGTAAAAAAGAACAAGATAAACCAGAAAAAAGTGAATTTATTCTAAAATTTTCAATTAAGATTTCAACTTGTCTTTTCATTCACCAGACAATGATACATGTGATGTTTGTGATAGACTAGATTGTGAAATGAGAAATGAAAAAAAAAATGAACTACTCAATAGACTGAAATTAAAAAAACCTCGAAGATGCCCCATTAAGATGTAAGTTACAAAAAAAAGAAGATATAAGTTCAAGAAACTTTAAAGAAGTGCTAAGATAGGATCAAAAATGATTATGTCAGATCTCTAAAAGTGCATTCCAACACCAGACTTAAAAAAACACCAAAAGTTTTTACTCAAGAAAACTCTGGACTTTAAATAGTACTATTTATGATGCAACAACTGATAAAACTTTTTGCATGACCTGGAATGAAGTTACAGCGGGTCGAGGATTAAATGAAATATCGTCTTACTTATTTACACGGACAAGTGAAGAAATTACTAATAATCAGCCTAAATATAAAGTTAATTAGCCTAAATAGAAAAACTAATAATCAGATAAAACAAAAATATAAATACGGTTTTTATGTATTTGTGGCTCTTGGAAAAATTCCTACTGTAAAGACAGTCAACCACAAGTTCTTATTGGCCGGACACACCTACATGGAGGTTGATGGAAAACACAGCATAATAGAGAGAGCTAACAAACAAATAAAAACTAACACCATTTTCACTACAAATTATTGGGCAAACTTTATTACTTCATGCTCAAAAAAATCCATTTGTTGTCAGACAGATGTGCAATAAAGATTTCTTTGATTTTCTCTTCTGGAGGAGCAAAGCCGCCCCATTTATATCAAGGAAGTAGAACACAATCAACGAACCATTTCTAATATCCAATGCAGTGTGGTTACAGCTTTGAAGAGGGAACAGTAAGCTATATTACAAAACCAGTTTTGAGGAAAATTAATTCAAAAGTGTTGAACTGACAAGAAATCGGAGGCAAGAAAGGATTAATATGCCATTGGTAATTCCACAAATACGGGCACACAAAAAGAAAATAAGCAGTGAAAAGTAAAATGACCTTATGAACGTGATGAAAATTTTCTTTGAAAACCTTCTAAATGGTGAACACGAAGGCAACTTCCCTGAGGATGACTCGACTGCTCTTGAATATTATTTTTTCTCCTTACCTCTTTGACAATAATGTTTAAAATGAATTGAAAAACATTGACTAAATGCTAGTTTTTTTATCTGTTTGTTTATAATAATTATATGTTTTTAATAGTAGCACATTAAGTTAATTTCTAAACCGTTTCCTAGATATGATTATGCCTCTGTAATTTTTACATTTCTTTTTGTTTCCTTTTTTGTGGATAAAAAGCTTATATACGATAAGCTTTTGGAATATTTTCCTGTTTGATCAAACATTTTTTATCTCGTTCACACTGATTGGTTGTACTTTACCTTCGTCTACTGGAACTGTTCTAAAGTCTCTGTAATTAATTTCGCAATGTGCTATTGCTTTCGTCAATAAGGATTTATAATATTCTTTCTATTAACATACTTATGTGGTTTAATCTCCGTGTTCCTTTGTGATTTTTTCTGAGGTTTTCTATAAACTTACATACTTTTTGTCGACAATTTACGACAATTTTTGTCGAATGTTTTTCTTTTGGTCACAGGTTTATTAATTTCTCTATTCCAGTAAGTGTATGTTCTTCAGAGTTCTGGAGAGTTAATATACTATTACTAACATATTATTAACATACCAATTCCATTTATTATGCGATATAATAATAGTGGAATTGTGATATAAAATTGACGCACTGTATTTTTGAATGATGTATAAGCATTGTGCCCACACAACAAAGAGTAAGTGGATTGGCCGGCTGCTTTTAGGAATTCCCAGATATGTTAATGCTAAACTTGTATTAGTGAAATTCGCAATGGAGAGGTTATGAAAAGAACACGATCAAGGCTTACATCTCGCTAACTTTAGTGTATTTGTGTATAATAAACTGTAAATTTGTGCCAAATTGTGATTTTGCCCAGGTTTTTAGTGATATGCGGAAAAGTTAATGCAAAAAGGAGGTCAAAATGCATTTGTTGCTAATAGCTGGTAATTTATCACTTGTTCTGGGAACAATATATTTTATATTAAGTATATTCGTTGAAAAATCATATAATGGTATGTATATTTTTTAATTTACTGTTAAAAATCAGTTACTTTTGTATTAAAATTACCGGATCAAATCACTTGCCAAATACTTTTAAAAAATTGTTGAAGATTTGAATAAGCAATCAACAGAAATGTAATTAAAGGTGGAAGATAAACTTAAACGATCAGAAATATTCAAGATAACCTTAAAAGAAATAAAATTAAATCATATTGATTTAAGTAAATGTCATAGAAAAGAGCTGGAACACTCTTATAGAAAATATCTTCACCATCATTTGCAGTAGCTACAAATTCGTAATATGACAGCAAACTTACATTCAGATTACTTTCTTGATATGCAAACATTAGTAAAAATTACCACTACTCCTCTCTATGTCTCTCTCTCTGTATCTCTTTCTCTCTCTCTCTCTCTCTCTCTCTCTCTCTCTCTCTCTCTCTCTCTCTCTCTCTCTCTTTCTCTCTCTTTCTTTCTCTCTCTTTCTCTTTCTCTCTCTCTCTCTCTCTCTCTCTCTCTCTCTCTCTCTCTCGAGACAATTCTTCAGGTTGATTAATAACTACGTTAGAAGGCAATTATACAATTTTTAAATAGGACATCTGTTATTGTCCTATCTTTTCATATTAAGATTCCCCTCATAATTTCTGTTTTTACAATACGGGGTTTGTCACTTGGTTTAAAATTTGATTTACTGACAATTGGACATTAAGTGATTTGATAAGTGAGTTGCTAAAATTTTGTGACTCGCCAATGTTATGCTTTATATCTCATTAAACAAGGTCTTAAAATTGTTTATATTTGTTTTATTTAGGTATATATAAGTATTAGATATACTTAACTAATTTATGTTTTTAGGTATCTCTGCCAAAACCCAGTTGCTCTACATGATAGTCTATACTACAAAATATTTTGATGATTCCATTATGTTTGTATGGGTTATGAATTTTTTCTCAAGTACGGCTTTCTTCTTATCATTTAGAATGAAAGAGACATACGAAAAGAAATATGACAGTTTCTGGACAGAAATTCTTCTTATTCCGCTTTTCATTTTAGCGGTTTTCGTCAATCATGATCACTCTCCTTTCAGTGTAAGTTTGATTAAAAATTACATTATTACACAATTATATAATTATATTAAAGTACTAAATAGCCATGCTAATAGCCACGTACTAACACCGAAGCATTCTTAGGCCTAGTCATAAGCGTATATCCCGACAACAAAGAAACTTTTTAAGTTTAACGAATGATGCACCTGCTATTTCAATACGTGTCTTAGTTTCTTTGGTTTGGTCTACATTTGATGTTTTCCATGTTCCTAAGTATATGTGGGTATCCATACTCTCAATTACAGTTACGATTAAATTGATTTAGAATTGATCATGATTATACATAATTTTCAAAATGGTAGAGGTAGCATAAAAAAAATTTCGGTGCCCAACCAAAACGTCCCCCCAGAGGAAAATTCTAGGTGCGCTACTGATGTTCTGATTCATATCTATGCATCTCTGGGCCAGCACATTCAAGCCGAACAAAGTATCTCTTGTGCCCAAGAAAATTGTGTGTCACTTATTTCATATTCAAGAGTTTTAAAAATTCTGTTTGTATTATTTTTAAAAATGTTTTAAGTATATGATTCATTAAGTAAAGCTATTGTTCTGTGATTCGATCAGAATATTACACTTGACTTTTTGGGTATTGTCACAAAGGTCGATTGCAGCTATTGTCCGGGTATTGTGGATGTCTGATATATTAGATTAAAGAGTTCAACCATTACATCAATAACTTCTTTATCAACACGTTTTAATACTTCGATGGGCACATTATCTGGTTCAGTAGTTTTGCCTTCTTTTGTGTTTTTGATGGCACAGATGAATTTTTCCCGTAATATTAGTGGTCCGGTATCTTCTGTGGTTTCTAATGATAGTTTTAGACACAATCTTTCTTTCATATCAGTAATAATATCTCCTTTATCGTTTTTAAGGATATTAGTTCTTGAGCTCTTTCTAGAACCTGCCATTTTTTGATTTTTTTTGTGTAAATTAAAGCTACCATACTTTTTGCCCTACTTAGATGGGCTGGACACATAATACGAATGCCAGAAAATACGATTGGTAAAAAGCTAACCACAGGAACACCTGTAGGAAAAAGAAGCAAAGGCCGACCGCGAATTAGGTGGTTAGATGGAGTAGAAACCGACTTACGAATATTAAAAATCAGAAGATGGTAACATGTTGCCAAAAACCGAACAGAATGGCGACGAATCTTAGAGCAGGCCAAGATCCACAGAGGATTGTCGAGCCAAAGATGATGATGATGATGATACTTTTTGCCCAGATCTTCTATTTTCTTTTTCTTTGTTTTAGTTTTTAGCTCGAGTTTAGCTTGTTTAGCTCGAGTTTTATCTTTCAAACGGTACAATTGTGTTTGCGTTTTGGGTTAAGAGTACCTGAAACTCCGCATCGGTCCTTTGGCCGAGAAATATGTCAAATTTGTAGTTGGTGTATATAAGTCGCTGAAGACGTTTGTGATAGGGGCGTGCTATATTTTCATGGGGTAAAGTACAATACACCACTTATCTACGTTGCTGCATATATAAGTATGTTACTTGGTATATAGATTTTCTTATTTGCTTAAAACAATTAGCTCATTTGTGCCACGATCGCGATAGAAAATTGTTAAAAGAATATTTTTCGGATATATAAACATTTATTTTAGCGTATACACTGTATTCTATATTGTATTCTGTTAACACCGATTATAGTTCATGTATGTTTTGTATTAATATTTGTATTACGTTTAATATAATTCATATATGTTATATCTCATTGCATTTTGTGTAACTTTGATTTGTTCATTTTGCCACGGATTAAGGGTATTATTATTATATGTATGCATATTTTTCACTCGTTAACGTCTAATATCAATTTATGCGGTATTTCCAATCATACTCAACCATTGCAATCGAAATCTTAAATTTCTTTGTTGTTAATGTGTTCTTAAAACCTATTCATCGACATCTTTGTTTTGTTTTGGTTATGGTTGTTTTTTGGTGTTTCATATTAACTAATATTTAAGTATTTGGTTATGTATATTTATGTTAATTGCACTGCATTTTAAAATAGCCGCTGGCTTTTATTTCTTTTCTTTATTTAAATATACATACCCAATCCGAAAGGGGGACACCAGCGAGTTCTAGATTGAACATAATACGTTCTCTCCCCCTTCAGGATGACCCCAATTGTTATATTGTATGTGCAGAACGTATGTACAGAACGCAACCCTTCAATTGTAAAATAATTAGATTAATTATTTTATATGTAAATTAGATCACAAATTTAAAATATTTTTCTTTTTCAGATACTAAATGCTTTCAGCGAGTATCTGGAATCACTGGCACTGCTTCCCCAGCTATACTTGATCTGTAATAGAAAAAAAATTACTAAACACATGAAAGTGTATCTCTACTATATTTATGCGTATAAATGTCTGAAGATGTTATATTGGTTGCACGTCTATTACATATTAGACGACCTCAACATTAGATCTCTAACAGCTTTGGCTGTAGAATTCATAATTTTATCTGTTTTCATAGTAATTTTACACTGTAAGAAAATGATCAGGTCCAGTTACGAAGCAAAGGCTACAAAGTCTCAAAACGTTTTTATTGTCAATTCTGGATTACTATCAGTTACGTCTGCCAAACCTGACGAGGTTCCATTAATTACTGAAGAAGCTGAAAAGCCCACGACAATTTGAAGGAAATTAATAATCAAACTAAATTTATAGTGTAAGATTATTTTGATATTTATATTACTTTATTATACAAATATACTTAAATTAATAAATATTCAAAAATGGTAAAACCCAACATTAAGAGATTATGCATTTTTATTTTATTTTCCTGTACACACATAAGTAAATTTCTTATTGTTGTATTAAAGTTTTTTTCATGTTAAGACATTTTTAATCTAGAATAATCGATAATAAATACAAAAACAAATTTTTCACAAATTTTTAGGTATTATTGTTTTCCGCCATTGTTTTCTGTCAATCCATTTGTCTTCTTTGATGGCTCTATCTCTCATTATGTGCCGTACATTTTCTTCCCAGGCAACTAAAAGCCTTCCCCTTCTTCTTCTTTGTTGTGGTATGTAATTTAAAGCTTTCTTTGGACGTCTATCTTCATCCATTCGCTTCACGTGACTATACCAAACTAGTTGTCTCGTTTCAATTCTGTCTACACGGGAATATACAGTATTTGTCCTCCTTCTAATATCTTTATTCCTGATATGATCTTTTTTGGAGACACTGCACGCTCTCCTTAGAAAATCCATTTCTGCTACTTCTATTCTTTTTCTATCTCTTTCGTGATCTGCCAAATTTCTGCCCCATAACATAATAGGCTATATTAGCAATCGAAGGTTCGATAGATTATCAATTTCATTTCTTGTCTAATATTTTTAGACCATAATAGAGAATTTAGAATGTTTACGGCTTTTTTCTCTGCTAGTAGTGCCTTCTTTAGATATTATAGGACTGAGATATTTATATGCATTGCATGTTTTGTGTTTCTTCTTTCTAACTCTGGATCTGTCTGGATAAAATACTCTGTCTTTGACATATTCATATTATTGCTCCATTTTTTATATTTTTTCTTTAGTTTTCTAAACATCTAGTCTATATCTTCCTCATCATTCGCTACGACTACCTGATCATCTGCAAAAAATTAAGTTGTTAGGCATTTACCACCGCCTATGTCTATTACGGAATTAGGCATTAAGGTGAACGGCATACCAATTAGCAACCTACGCTATGCGGACGACACAGTGATTATAACTGATAATTTGGAAGATCAGCAGTTATTACTTGATAGGGTGAATAGCATAGGTAAAAAATATGGCCTCAAAATCAACATTTTGAAAACGAAATATATGGTCATTAGCAGAAACCCTCCAGAAAACCCGATATTATGCATAGGTGACAATCGTATAAATCGCGTGAAAACTTTTAAATACCTTGGCACCACAATCAATGACCAATCGGATCCACAACACGAGATAAAAACCCGACTACAAATGGCAAGACAAGCTTTTGTGAAATTCAGACCGCTCCTATGTAATCAACACCTAAACTTCGAAATACGCTACAGAATGGTCAAGTGCTACATATGGTCCATCTTGCTTTATGGCATGGAAACGTGGACTTTGAAAAAAACATCTATCAACAAACTTGAAGCATTTGAAATGTGGTCATTGAGAAGAATGATGCGCATACCTTGGGTGGATAGAGTTCGAAACGATGACGTCCTTAATAGAGCCGGCGTGGAAAGAGAACTCTTTGAATTAATTAAAAAACGCAAGATTGGTTATCTTGGGCACATATTGAGAGGAGCAAAATATGAAATACCACAGTTAATTCTACAAGGGAAGATCGAAGGTAGGAGAGGAGCCGGCCGCAAACAATTGTCCTGGTTAAGGAATATTAAAGAATGGACAGGAATACACAATACAGGTGAGCTGTGTCACGCCGCCAAGAACAGAATTCTAGTAATGAGATAGTCGCCTACGCACTTTGGTGTATGGCATGTTAAGAAGAAGAAGATGTCTATTCGCATTCCGGATACATGTTTCCTCCACTGCTCTAGCGATGATTGAATATATATTTTAAATATATTCGGAGATACACAACAGCTTGTTTAAGCCACTTTGTTATAAGAAATGATTCAGATATAAAGTCTCCTTCTTTTAACGACAATTTTTGCATTTTTGTATATATTTGCGGTAGCATCCACTCACTCTCTACTTAGACCTACTTTCGTCAATGTTTGAAACAGTTTTTTATAGGTACCGTATCGTATGCCTTCTCTAAATCTACAAACAATAGGTGGGTAGATAGATTCGTTACCTTCTGTTTTTTAATTACCTGATGCAGAACGAATATACCATCAGTGTACTATCTTCCTTCACGAAATCCATTTGGTTCTTCTATGGAGCTGATAACAGTTACTTCCCTATAATTAGAGCATTTGCGTTTATCCCCTTTCTTGAATATTGAGCTGATGTATCCAACATTTCAATCATCAGGTTTATTTTTTCCTTTTAAGCATTTGTTAAATAGTTGAACTAACATCTCATGTAATATTTTTCGTTTATACTTTACCAACTACATTGGGATGTCTCCAAGTCCTGCTGCTTCACCATTTTTCGATCTTTTGAGGGCATCGCTTAACTCTCCGGTTGTTATCTCAATTATTTGTGTATGTTCGGATATTTCTTCTATTTCAATCTCTTGGAATTTACATCTATTCTCTGTCAGTAAGACCTCATAATGGTGTTTCCACTGTTTCAGATCTATTAACTGGGATCACGTTTCTTCGGTATCGTGTCACGAACCATTTTTCGTACCATTTCCTTTAGACGTTTATCGTTTTGTTTGTCGCCTTTTTTATAGGTTCCGACTTAATAGCTTCGTGAAGGTTGATTAGCTGTTTCGTGTTCCAAGGCAATGACGAGCCCTTCATCTAAAACTTTTGGTCTTGCTAGTCATGAAACTTTTTGTAGTTCACTTTCTTTCAACCCATTGACAAAGCTATCTATAGCAATTTCTTCCAATATGTTGTCTGGTGCTTCCGGATAAGCTAACCGCGCCATATGAGCAACATCTGCTTGCAAATTTTGACTTGCTCGTTGAATTCTATTTCTTATTAGTACTTTGTAGACTTGTCTAATCGAGTGAAAAAGGTCTGGGAACATTTTTCTTGATCCTTAGGAATCCACCATAGAATATCCGCAGTATCGTCTCGTAAAACAGCAGTCAAGAAAACAGACAATTTGATATAGGAAAAATTTCAACAAACAAAAAGGCACACTGACTTTTTTTAAAAAAGCAGACGTCAGAATTTTCCATTGAAAAATGGGTGCGTTTTTGATCATTAAATCAAAACAAGTGAAAGAAATAAATATTTTAAATTAAAAGAATTACAGTGTATTTGAGACATAAAAAGGTAACTGAAAAAAAATTCGTGAAAAAAATTTATGGAAGATAAAACTAAAAAATCCACTATCTCAGTTTCCCACGCAATATCAAAAGCGTTTTAGTTAAATTGACTGGAACTTTGAAAGAGAAGAGAAGTAGGTTTGGTCATGCTGTTTTATTTCTGAGTTACAGAGCTTCAAAATATTGTATTGATTTCTGAGACTTAAGGACTGTATAGATTTCTAAGACATCACAGAGAACTTTTTATGAGCATGATCGAACCTACTCCTGTGCGAAGTTTTAGTCAATTTAACTGAACCACTTGTACATCAGTAACAAACAAATACGCCAGGAATATTTGCACGGATACTTTGCGCCTATAATTTTATTAGCGTTACTTTCGCTCAAACAACGCTCTTCACATGAAAAATAAAGGAGAAAAAATCTTTTTGTTTCAAATTAAATGAAAAATTTAAAAATGGTTTTGTTTTGAAATAGCTCAGTGGTTTACCATTGTTTTCTTTAGAAACATTGAGACCATTGCATTAATGCTACTACGTTAATCTTGAAAGAATGTAGACAAACACTTTGTTACTCTGATTTTGATATAGGTATACAACGTTTATTCTAATTCTATCCTTTATACAGGTGCATTAATGACTGGCATCACGAAATTACAGTCTTAAATAGATCGTGGAAGAGATTTTGTATATACAGAAGGCACAAAGTTGTAGTTAAATAGCATAAACTACCCAATTAGCTGCTGTGGTGATCTTAAACTGTGAGTCTGAGGTCTTCAGTATTCTATGCAGAACAGAATGGATATAGAAGTTCTCATTCCAGACAACACATATCATTAAGTAAATAGGATAGGTGTAAATAACTTATAGCCAAATAAACGTTTTTTTATTAAATTTTTGGTAAACATACAAATATCCAGCACTTTATTTTTCGCACTATATTTCTGAATGAAGTATAAGAATTGTTGTAAAACCCAAGTTTCTTGGTTTACTGTTTCAACGAATTACCTTGAATTTATAATCACAAACAAGCTACCGGCAAAATTGCAAAACATGAAGTGGTCTTAACACTCCTAATACAATTCAAATTTACCACTGCCTCATCCGTCGAAGAATTCGTTGAACTTGGGTATCGGTGTCATACTAAACTAGAAATCGGTGTAAATTTGGCATAGTGTTTTCTTTCGCTTCATTTTTATGGGGTGGAGCAAAAACCAATTTAAAAATTTCATACGCAGGTGCGAATATAAACGAATTTCTGATTGGAAATTTTAATTATGCTAAAGAAAAAATATGTGACGTAGTTGTTTAAAAGATATTGATATTATGTTGTATGAAATATTGCGATGTTGTTATTGAATTTTTCTGGCATTTGACTTTACCTTCTGACAGTTTTTAAGTAATTAAAAAACCAATATATCAAATATAATATAATTTTCTTTAACTCTTTCAGGACTGAATACATTCCACAGATACCCAAACTTTTCAGACAAAAAAATAGGTATGATGAATATAGTCTTATAATGGTGATCAAATTGATCTATTTTTTAAAATATCCATAAATCATTTAATAGGACATGGGACAACTGTGTCCCAGTAGTGTTTTATATTGGGACCAATGTGTCCCATACACGAATAAATTTTGAAGGTAATTTTATTGGAAAAAATATAAAATTATACAAAAAAATAACGAGGATGTAAAAAAACACTTCTTACATTGTGGCGAATAGCAGATGATACAAATTGTTTTGATTCTTGTCTCTTTCTTACTGGGAAAACATCTATGGCATCTCCTTCTGGTAGAAATTTACTTTGGGCAAATGGTCCCTGACATTTACTATGTTCTTGTGGCGTTTAGAAATTCTTTCCAAAGCATCTACCAAAGGTAGCTTGAAGCTAACAGTCAATCATCTCTTTATTTTGAAGTTGGACCTGCTATGTTGTATAAGCTACTCTGCCAAAGGAACTAAAAAACTCAATAGACTGTTCTTTTTCTTATTTATATCGTCGCATGTTATCCATGGAGTTATTGGGAGTAAAAGAAAAGGTAGAAGGCCCAAGACCAAAAGAAAGATCTTCAACATGATGGGCAGAACAAATGAAAACTCTGTTGGGAAAATACGTACATGAAGCCGTCCTTATGCCAGAGGATCGCAGCCACTGGAGGCAGCAAAATCAAATGTACCAAAAGTAACGAGTATTTCTAACAAAGACATATCGATAGTTTGGGTATTGGACAAATACCCGTTATTTTGTAACGGGTAGGTCACGGGTTTACAATACTAAAAAACTAATGTAAAATTGATGCAGTATATTTCTGAACAAGGTATAAGTATTAAAAAATTGCTTACACCGCTATTTTAAGGAATTCCGCTGAATTATGATACGTATGACAACAAAAGCGCCATGCCATCGGCATATTCACAAAACGGGAGGATGGTCCAAGCCGCCCAAGAAACAAGAATAACGAGATCCATGATCAGTAGCTGTATGCGGAGAACTTGGTGAAGTCTGTGCCATAACAAACTGTAACTTGAAACAATGTTTGTGTTTCTTTTGGCTTACCTTTATGAAATGAATTTTTTTCTTACAGTTGGTAATCTATCACTGGTTGTTGCAATATTTTATTTAATATGGAGCATAATAAATGAAAAATCATACGCTGGTATGTATGTCATGTAAATTATTATAAAGATAAGAGACTTAGCTAGGATTAGGAGTAAAATGTTGTTTATTGATATTTAACTACAATATTCGTTGTTTATAAAGATAAACATAGTGTTCATATTATATTTATTATTTTTTTAATAGTTTCTGTGTGTAAGGTTATTGTTATTTTAACTGACAGCTGATACTGATACATAACCTATATTTTTTTCCTAAAAATTTTTTCTCAATGATGTCATAACTTTATAAAACATATATTATTTTCATTTATACAAGGTATATTTGAAAATAGTTTAATTTTACAGGGTATTACGCATTTTTCGTTGATTTTTATTCCTTTTTTAATTTCCGAGAGCATTTTGAAGGGAAGAAGAGGGAGACTTGATCCAACCGTTACATTTTTTGAGATAACTTTTTTACAACCTATCCAGAACCTTGATAATTTGGTAAAACATTACAAATCACAGTTTTGGGCATTTTACACCCGAAAAGTATACTGCTAATAAATACCGAATTTTATAGAATCTAGTCATAGAGAGAAACATGTCTTCCAGTACTTCGAGAGATTTGATCCCTATGAATGGGTGATTAGATTATGGCTTCCCAGTATACAATATTAAAATGAAATCAAAAATTGGATGCTGAAAACTAACTTTACTCAGTTATGGCTTATAACAAATACTATTATTAAAAATATACCACTTTATGGCAGAAAATTATACTCAAAAAGTTATAATAGTTAAGCATCATTATTAGCATTTCATCATTAGGATCCATTAGGATTAGTCAGTGACCCCAAATTTAAAGATTCGCTCGTCCTTTTTTTTTGTTTAGTTATTTTTTTAGTGCTCTTACTTTTGCCCTTTGCTCTTTTTTTAATTTTTTCTCTTTTTTCGCCCTAACTTCAGCTTCAAGCGCAAATTTTTCTGATGTAGCTGTGAGAAATTTTGTAGATGTTTATTTTCTATTCGTTACTGAAGTCCTTTAGGATGAGATTGATCATTTCTGGGCTAGTAAAAGTGACAAAAATGAAAGGCTGGTTATTGTACTCTGTTGATGTTTGTTGTAGCTAGTTAGTTTGTGAAAAATCTCCATTTACAAGAAGTGATGTCATTTTTTGAGGTGTGGTTAAAGTGCCAGTAGAAGTAGAAGGCTGGTTTTTGTCCTCTATAAGTGTTCGTCGTAGTTGTTGATTATGTAAAATTGATCCAGTTAAAGAATGTAGTCTAATTATTTCAGGGGTGGTAAAAGTACCGGTAAAATTGTAGAGTTGTTTATTGTTATCTATGACTAGTTGTGCAATATCAAACTGAGATAAAGTGAAATTGTTTGTCGGATCTCCGCGATCAGTAACATACGCCGACATAAAATCTTCAACGCTAAAAATATTGGAATTAAAAGGCCATATACCCGTAACTCTAAATCCACTCTCAATATTACGTGGAGTAAAATTTACGGGGAATGTGTAAGCTAAGCATCTTCCAACTTTGTATATTGTAATTGTCCTTCCTGGGTGGCTCACTAATCAATCATCACAGGGAGTATTATGCCCAAATACACTCCTATCTAACGCCTGAAGCTTAAGCGACGTATGTGGTAGTATGGTACTTGTTTTTAAAAATGTTCCAAAATTTTGATAAAAGTAGAAGCATTCATCCATCCACTTTTATAAACTATGCCGGTGGTCCTTGGTGGGCTATAATCAATCATGCAATCTTGCCAAAGTTTTCAAGGGAAATCCGTAAAAGGTGGTATATGGTTTCTAAATGCGTTAATTGCACAACATTTACTGTTCTCACGTCACCCTGACTTAATTTACCAACTTGTTTTTGACTTTTGCAAACAATGATCTTTGGCTTATTGACAGTTAAGTAAAAGTCCAGTTTCGTAAACGCTCCAAATTGCTTCTGGTCCAAATTTATTGTTTCAAGAACTCCCTTTAAATTTCCGAAAAAATGCTGTACATTGTTTTTGTTTCTTTTAAAATCTAGTTGTTCTAAAAATACTGGTTGCTTTTAAAGAGTGAAGTGATAAGGCCTTCATCTTTTGTAGAAATCCCCAAAGCAGGTATTTTTTGATTATTTCTTACGGCTAACTTGTACGCCAGTTCTTTTGCTTGTTTGATTGTAAGGTTTTGGTGTAATTAGCCTGACAACATCTAAATAATCTTTAAACATATTTTCCTCTGCACTTGTAAATATTTGAGCGTTTTTGTAATTAGGAGAGAAGGTTATTTCAACATTTTTGGATTGTTGTCATCAAACTTATCTTTTTAATGTCATAACATTTATTTGATGACGAATTGCCGTTCCCTTGAGAGAAGTACCGTTATGAATCACGTCTAAAACAGCTTCTTTTAACATCTAGCTGTTGACTGGTGTTATTTTCTTGGCTCCTTCCCTCCTTTTGTATTGACGTGGTATCAGTGGCGGCTCGTGACATCTGCTATAGGGTGTGCTGCATGAACCACGGTCAATATAAAATAATAGAAATAGAATAACATACGAAAACAAAAACAATAAAATTAGCTTTAATACTAATTAATAGTAACTAATAACGACATGCTATAAAAATCTGATTAACTTACATTTATTGCATTTTTCTAAATTGGAAATTAATACGCCGGTCCTTTTTTGTCGCAAACTTTTCGATTACTTTATCGTTAAAGTTCGGTATTGAAGCGATGAACTTTTCTTCTATCGAGAGTGTGGAAAGGGCTGTTAATCTGTCTTCGCACATTGAATTTCTTAAAAATGTTTTGATCCGTTTTAAAGTTGAAAAACTACGTTCAGCTTCTGCTGTGGTCATTGGCGTAGTCACCAGAATTTGTATCAACTTTTTGGTTTCTGTTAATGTGTCCTCTAAATTATTAGAAATTATAAATTTTAGTAAAGGCCTGCACCTTTTAATGTTCTACACTCGATATTGGAATACAAAACTGACAGTTCTGTTCGCAAACGGTTTTTATCAAAGAAGTTATAAGCTGTACAAGTTAAATCCAATTCATTTTCAGGAAACTTATTATTATATTTTTCGAAATGTTCTGAAGATAAAAGTGTTGCGGCAACTAGATGATTTGTATATGCAAACCGTTCTTTTGCATTGTTTATAATAACATCACAAACTTCTAGACAGGCAATACGGTGATCCTGTTGGCTGTTATTTGGGCGTTTCCTTTTTTGGACACTAGGCGCCGCATTTAAATTTGAAGCTTGATGTATGATAGGGTCTATTTTATTTCGGACATTGTTAATACTTTGCTCAAAAACATGTATAGCTTTCTGTGCTTCGGTTGGGTCCATGTTCTTTTTTTGAAGATTATTGTACAAAACGTCAACATGTGGCATAATATAATGAAAAACAGTCAGCCAGAAAGTAAAATTTTGATCTTCCAGAATACGTCTAAGTCCTCTTGCTTCCTTGGAAGTAATAGCATTTGACTCTTCTTCTAGTTGCTCCATACACTCAATAATAAAGTCTCTATATTCGTAAACGACATTTACTGTACGAATATTGAAATTCCAGCGTGTAGGGATTGAACGAGGAATATTTTTTCCAACTATTTGATTTAAGACAGCTATTCTTTGAGGTGAATGACTAAAAAATCCAGGTATATCATGTAAATCTCCAAAAAATACGCGTACTTGGGAATTAATAGAACATGCTCTTGACATTATTAGATTCAATTGATGGGCGTAACAGTGCACAAAATGAGCAGTTTCATATTTTCTCTTAATTATTGTTTGCACTCCGCCATGTATCCCACTCATAACAGCTGCTCCGTCATAACTTTGTGCAATGAGCTTATTTTTGTTATTCTTTAATATTGGGTCTAAAACATTCAAAATTGTGTTAGCTAAGGTTTCAGCATCATGTTTTTCTGGAAGCAAAAAAGTCCAAAACCTTTCAACTGGAGCACCGTTTTTTACATAACGAAAAACAATGACCATTTGAAATTTCATAGAAACATCCGTTGTCTCATCAGCTATCACTGCTAAAAATGGGGCTTCATTGATTTCGTTTAAAATCTCCTCAGCGTATACTTCTAGCATGCAATCCAAAATATCATTTTGTATTGTTTTTGAGGTACCTTTGAAAATTGTCGCATTTGTAAGGTGTTCACTAAGTGTTTTATCAAGTTCAGCAGAAAAATTCACTAAACCACGAAAAATTCCAGGGTTATCTGATGTTTCAGATTCATCGTGTCCTCGTAAGGCGAGCTCAAAAGCCCCACAGAATTTTATACAGTCAATTATTTTTGACAAAACATACCTGTTTTTCGTCACCTCTTCATTGTGTTTTTGTATATTTATCCAATAAGCAGAGTCAAGTTGGGCCTGTATATTAAGTTTCCCAAATAATGCAAATCGCATTTCATTGTTCATATGAGTTTGCGTGTTTTCATGCTTCTTTATTTTTTCACTTAAATGCACTAGATCCCGCACTCCTGTCTCGCGCCACAATTTTTCCTCTTTATCTGCGCCGAATAATGCACACGGAAAACAGAAAAAAGCATTTTTTTCGGAACATCCACAAATCCACTGATTTCGTAGATACATGTCTTTATTAAATTTACGCGTATATGTTTTTCCACGGCTTTTACCGGACACTTCAATATTAAGATCAGGCATAGGACGGCCACGTTCTTTTATAATCAACTGTTGTTGATAGTGAAGTTTTTGAAATTTATTTACACCTAATTTAAATTGAAACTCCATTGTTTTAAACACGCTCGAACAAAACAAATTAAACAAAATTGTAACCTAAGAATTTCTAAACACGGCACAGATGCAACGGTCACGAATAACTGTCGTGAATTGCAGCTCGCAAACACATTTCCGAGGCCGTTAATCAGCCGATTGCCGAAGCACATCGGCTAAGATCGCCGTTTGCCTAATAAATGCATTTTACCGCTGCCAGTGTTTCGGTTGTTATCGACGCGGCTTCACTGGAGCAGCAAATACGTAAAAAGATTGCTTCACTGGAGCACCAAATACGTAAAAAAATTATACGGTTTCACTAGAGGAGTAAATACGTAAAAAAAATAATATTAATCATCGTTGTTGGTGAATTATTATTAACAGTTTATGTTTAATATGATAATATGGCAGATTTGAAATAAAACTATATTAATTATTCTTTAATAATTAAGATTTGCTATGGTTGTTTGGTAGTTCTGCAACTCAGCAGCACATAAAGAAAAGCCGCCACTGCGTGGTATATCTATATAATTAAAAACACTCATCTATAAGGAGTTTCTGGGAGACTTGATCCCGGGATCATATCTCGCAAATAAGAGAAAATCAAGTCTCCCCCCGGAGGCCATTTTAATATTTTGGTCTTTAAAAATATGACAACAAAATAGAACTCATTGCACACTGTGCAAAACTTACACTGAATGATTATGGTGTTAAATAAAAATTATACTGAAAAACTCGCCTAAACGAATAGTAAAGAAAATCAACTTGAAATAATTCAAAACTCTTCTCGATAAGGAAAAAACAATTGTAATGAACACGTGTTCTTCATTGCGTATTCTAACAAAAACTAAATTAGATGGAATCTAATGCAATACTAAGAGCTACGGTATGTTGCGGGTTTTATAATTTTAGGCTGGTTATTTACTGAAACTTTAAGGAGTGATCAAGTCTTCCATACTATCAAGTCTCCCTTTCCTCCTCTGTATTGAATAGTATTTGACACAGACTTACCGAACTCTACTTTTTATTGACAATAAAATATCTTCCTGTTTATTATATTTTTTGTATTTGCACGTTATTTTTAGGTATCTCCGCTAAAACGCAGTTCCTTTACTTAATAGTCTTCGTCGCAAGATTTATTGCAGGTCCTGCAAAATTTTTTGAGCTCCTTATGATTTTTCCCTTTAGCGCAACTTTGATCCTGGCTTTTTGGACGAAAAATACATACGAAAAGAAATTAGATAATTTTTGGGCAGAGTTTCTAATTGTCGCAGCTTTCATTTTTGCTGTTTTCGTCCATGATAGTATCCCTTTCAGAGTAAGTCTTTGTTTTTTTTTAAATATGATTGGTCAAGGTTACGAATGTGGAACGTGAAACTCTAATTTGGAGTTTGTATTTAACCCTACAGTCGTGACGTGAAAAAAGTTACACCAGCCGTGACCACGGCCTCTTTAAAGAAGAGAAAGAAAAAAAGAAAATTTAACACAAGATTAAAGTGCAAATAGACTACAAACGTACATATAAATGGCTACGTGGAACGTCAAAGGCCTTAATGGAAAAGAGAGAGAATTAATAGATGAATTTGACAAAGCACAATTAGATTTTTTGGCGATCACGGAAACTAAAAAGAAAGGTCAAGGAATGGATGAATTGGATAAAGAACATGTATTTTTGTACAGCGAAGTCAGTACCGATAGTAGAGCGGCAGAAGATGTTGGATGCCTAATGAGAGCAAGCTATATGTCATATGTTAAAAATTGGAAATTTATATCACAAAGAAATTTAAAGGTAGAGATAACACTAGACAATACAGAAATAACAACTATATTAGTCACATGATGACGAACCATTAAAAGTTAAAGAAGAGTATTGGGAAGGGCTCAATGATGCTATAGAAAATGTTAAAGGTAGAATAGTCATTATTAGTATTTTGGGTATACAGGGGGAAGATACAAGAAACGATAATGGAAGAAGGATGATAGACTTTTGCGTGGAGAATAATTTGATTATAACCAACACATTTTTTGAACACAAGGATATACATAAGTTCACGAGAGAAGTCAGGAGCAGAAATAAAAAATTAATTCTAGATTACGTTCTAATTAATAGAGAATTTGGGAAAGATGTCACTGATGTTAGAGTTAAAAGAGGATTGGAAATGTATAGTGACCACTATTTGGTAGTGGCAAAGATAAGATTACCCCAAAAAACACCTAAAACCACTAAACAAAGAACGAAAAATATTAAAGTGAACGAGAATATCCAAAACTATAAACTAAACGACCAAAAAGTCGCGGCCATGTTCAAAAGTAAAATAGAAGAAAAAATAGCCAAATTATCTAATGCACATAGTACTGACAACTTACAGGAAACTTGGAAACAATTTAAAGAAACCATCGTGACGACAGCAAAAGAAACGCGTGGAATAAACCATGTAAACAGAAATAAAATAAAATATGAAAAACAGAAATGGAAAATAAACAAGAAAACTTACTTACTTAAACAAGAAAACAGAAAATAGTTACGAAGAATATAAACGACAAAAAAAGGTGCTTTAAAAATGGTGCTGAAGAAGAAGAAGGAAGCCTAGGATGAGTTTGGAATGAAGATGAAGACAGATAGCCAAGGTAACCAAAAATTGTTTTACAAGGCACTAAAGACGCTAACAAAAGGTAAAGAAACAACGATGAAACAGGTGAAACGTAAAGACGGCACGCTGATTATCAGACCAAATGAGATTTTGGAAAGGAAGCAGTTTGGAAAAGTCTGCAAAATAGAAATATTGACCATCAACTAACAGGTGCTATCAAAAGTCTGTATCAAAATAGAGTTATGTACGTAAGGATAACTTGGAATCAGAGATGTTTGCAATAAACGAAGGTCTAAGACAAGGAGGTGTCATGAGCCCTACACTGTTCATATTGATTATTGACGACATAATTAAGGAAACTGAAGCGAGTATACACAAAGTACATATCGGATATAATAAACTACGACCGGTTGGTATAGCTGTGTGCATTCGCAGATGATCTCATGTTATGCGCTCCCAACGAAAGGGACCTCCAGACAAATACAGATAGCTGGAATAATGAGCTGGCAATTAGAAACATGAAGATTAATGTTAAGAAAACCAAGGTGATGCTAATAGCGAAAACTAAGCGAAATGTTAACATAGAAATTAACCAACAACTCATAGAACAACTAGATGCATTCAAATACCTAGGGGTTACAATAGACAGAGAAGGTACCATGCAGAATGAAATAACAGAAAGAATAAGTAGTGCTTCTAAAGTGTACCATAATCTTAGTAGAGCATTTATAGGTAAACGGAAATCAGCAGAAGAACCAAAACGACAGTTTATAAGACAGTATTCTAACCTATCTTGATATATGGAAGCGAGAGCTGTGTTTTAACAAAGCAATTAAAAAGCAAGATACAAGCCATTGATATGCAATATCTAAGACGAGTCAAAGGAATAACACGACGAGAGAAAATAAACGAAGTTGTTAGAGAAGAACTGGGCACAGAATCTGTACTACATGCTATTGAAACACAACAGACAAAATGATTTGGTCATCTGTGCCGAATGAGCGACAACCGACCCGTTAAGCAAGTCTAGAAGGCTAAAGTGAAAAAGTTTAAAACCAGAGGCAGACCACGGAACACCTGGAATGACGAAGTAGGGCAGATTTTGAAAAGTAAGGGAATGGAATAGTCAGAAGCTCAAAATAAGGCAAAAAACAAGAAAGAATGGACAAAGTTCGTGCACAGAATAGAATAAAAAACAAGAATTCTGTATTTTCATTGGATTTGAAATGTAATGCATATCTGTAACCTGTATTTGTATTATCCTCACACCTTAGGGTAGAGAGGTGTTCGATTATATATCGAATTTTAATATATATATATAGAATTTTTATATCATTTGGGCAACAGCTTTTACCTTTTTTAAATTGTGACCAATTATATAAAACATAATTTTATTAATTAACATAAATATATTCCGGTTTAAAATACTTTGATGTTTCAGATAATATCAGCTTTCAATGAAAATCTGGAAGCAGTCGCCTTACTTTCCCAGATATATATGATCTGGAAAAGCAAACAAATCGTCAAACACATAAAAGTATATATGTTCTATATGTATCTATATAGATGTTTGAATATATTGCGATGGATACACATCCACTGCACATATGGTAGCAACGACATCAGATCTGGAGCAGTTTTGTTTGTTGATTTCTTAATTATGACTACGTCTATAGTGGTTTTACGCTATAACAAAATTATTCTCTATCGTCATGAAGAAAAGAAAGCTACAAAACCACAAAATGCCTTTTACGTCAAAGCTGAATTGCCATCCATTACAGCTACCATACCTGTCGGTATAAAATTGGAAAAATAAGAAATTTACCAGCTCAAGTTAATTAAATAGACGTTATGAGTAAGACAACAACGCGAGAATGATATAACTAACTTAAATTATCGCTCATATGTGTATAAAATAAATTATTATTATAAGAATATTTTCTACTGTGAAATTTTATTTTATTTTCTTAATTAATATTAAAAGAATTTGAAAGAAACCTTTAAACAACGCTATGTTTACGTGCAACGATTTCAAGTTCTGGTACTCTAATAATGATTCTTGATTTCAAATTTATATCCCGATCCTAAAATTTTGGAATATAATTTCCCCCTTCTTCTCTCTATTTCCTGAGTCCTTGTCAGCTCAAGTTATACTCCAAATATTGTTAGCTTGCTGTTTGCATTGGCTGGGATGTTTTGCCAGATGGACAACTACATGTAGGGATTTTCCCACCAAAGTCTTGATTTGGTCTCGTTAGTTCATAGAAAAAACAATAACATTTTAGTTCAAAACCTATTCAGTATGTTGAAGACCATATTAACCTTATTCCTAAGTATCAGAGTCACTACAGTTCATCTGATAATCTGGGAAAGATTTATTTAAATAGTGATATGTCAGTAACTTATTTATATGAAGAGTTTTATGTTCCATGGTGTAAACGTAAAGATATATTATCTGTTTCTGCATTGACATATAAGAAAATCTTTTGTACCGATTTTAATATAGGTTTTAAGTTGCCAAAATCCGATACCTCCGAGACATGTGATGAAACGCTGATTAAAAAGAAATACTGCAACGCTGTATTTCTAGACATCTCACAAGCGTTTGACAAAGTTTGGCACAGAGGTCTGCTTTACAAAGTAAAAATAGCACTATCCAGTAACTATTTCCTCCTACTTAAATCCTACATATCAAATAGATATTTCTCTGTAAAATTCAAAGACCAACAATCCAACCTCTGTCCTATCAACTCCGGAATCCCGCAGGGTAGTGTTCTAGGGCCGCTACTTTTCTCACTCTACACAGCCGATATACCAGAGACCAATAATACTACAATCGCTTCTTTTGCTGACGACGTAGCAATACTAGCCGTAAATGAAGATCCCATACAAGCCTCACAAAACCTGCAACATCATCTGAACATACTCAGTGATTGGTATACAAAATGGAGAACAAAAGTAAATAAAACAAAATCAACTCAAATAACATTTACCAACCGTCACAATATATGCCCACCTGTAAGGATGGAAAATATAAGAATACCAACAGTAACAGACGCTAAATACCTTGGCCTCCATCTTGACCAACGACTCACTTGGAAGAAACATATCCAGACCAAAAGAAAGCAGCTCGACTTAAAATTCCGACAAATGTATTGGCTTCTTGGACGTAAATCAAAACTTAACATCCAAAACAAAATTCTTCTATACAAAGCCATACTCAAACCTATCTGGTTCTACGGACTACACCTATGGGGCTGTGCAAAACCAACGTCGCTGAATATTATCCAAAGATTCCAGTCTAAAGTACTAAGATCGATAGTGGATGCGCCATGGTACGTAAGTAACCAAACACTCCATAATGACTTAAAGGTTCCTTTCATCAGAGAAGAAATTCATCAAGCCACGGAGTCACAAAATGAACGTACCATTCACCACGAAAATGAGCTAGTAAGGGAACTATACAACAATGGACCAGCCACTAGAAGATTACATAGAACCTGGCCTCAAGACCTTCTTCAGAACTAAACCAAAGTAGAATAAGGTGAGACATCATTGGATGTCTCCCCTTCACGCGCAAAACCTGTAATCACATTTACTTAATACTCTTTTTTTGATGTAGATTGTAAATAAACATAATTATAAAAAAAAAAAAAAATAGAAGCAGCAAAAGTTGAGAGTTGTGACGAATTAACAGCTTCTTTGACGACAAATTTAAATGTTCACCAAGCACGGGCAAAAGCAACGCAGGACTTGCTAAAAACCGAAAATGCTGATGCAAAAACCAATGATAAAAAATTTGTTGTAAAGTTTGATTTACAACACGCCCTGCCAGTACCGAAACTGACTACAGGAGTAGCTTTTTACTGCAGAAAACTATGGCTTTATAATGTTGGTCTACATGACTGTGGTTCGGGAAAGATTCACATGTTTGTATGGAGGAAAGACATAGCTAAAAGAGGTAGTGATGAAATTGGAAGTGCTGTTTTAAAGTTTTTATCTAATAAGTCAGGCATTGATGAACTGGTGTCGTTCACTGACAACTGTCCGGGATAAAATAAAAACTAAATAATGGTCTTGTGGTTGCAAATAGTTAAAGAAATGAAATATTAAAAAATTATCCACCTCTTCCTGGTTAGCGGCCACACGCACTTACCATTAGATCGGGACTCTGCTCTTATAGAAAAACACCATCGGAAATATGCTCCATTAATATATTTTTCACCAAACTGGTTTATTCTTAAAAAATCGAATAAAAAAAATTCATTTGAGGTCACAGTGTACAAAATGACTTTAGATACATCAGTATACTACAACACAATGCCAAAAGAGCAACCAAATTTGACGACGGTAACAAACTTGATTTTTCATGGGTGTTTTTATTTATGTTCTATATTCATACTCCCAATGCTTGTTTTGTTAAGTACGCTGTTAATGGTGCTTACCAGGAAGTTAATTTATTAGAAAAGGAAGGCCGGCACTGGTAACGCTCGGTTCCTTAACTTCTTCTTCTTCTTCAGATGCAAATCCACTAATGGATGTTAGCGATCACATTTTCCATTAACTCTCTATTTCTTGCAATATGTATCAGAGATTGTATGTCGTTAATCCCTGTCCATTGCCTTATGTTTCGGAGCCAGGACATTTTCTTGCGTCCCATTCCTCTCTTGCCTTCAATTTTACCCTCGATTATAAGTTGGAGGAACTGGTATTTTTCATTTCGCATGATGTGACCTAGATACGCCGTTTTCCTTTTCTTAATGATTTCGAAAAGTTGGCGTTCTTGGTTTATTCTTTTAAGGACATCTATATTTGTGATTTTCGCTGTCCATGGTATTTTTAGGATACGGCGATAAAGCCACATTTCGAAAGCTTCTAATCTGTTTATATCCCTCGTTTTGAGTGTCCAGCCCTCTACGCCATATAGCAGCACTGACCATACGTAGCACTTAGTAAACCTTAGTCTCAGTTGAAGATCGAACTCAGAACAAGTCAGTACCTTCTTGAATTTTACGAAAGCTTGTCGAGCTTGCTCAATGCGACATTTTACTTCCCTGTCCGATGCCCAGTCTTCAAAAAGCCACGATCCCAGGTATTTAAATTTACTCACTCTTTCTATGGATTTACTATTCAGTGTTATGGTGGAGTTTTCAAATGCATCCAAGTTTCTGGAGATGATCATGAATTTGGTCTTTTTGGTATTAATCTCTAGTCCCACTCGCTCACTGTATTCTCCGATTATAGTGACAAGTTGTTGAAGATCGACTATGTTGTCACAAATTAAGACACCATCATCAGCATATCGTATGTTGTTGATCAATACTCCATTCACCTTGATTCCCATCTCTGCATGCTCCACTTAAATACAATGAGCTTGTCAACGTTTAAAAAAAAGGTAGACAACATAAAAGCTTTATTGCCATATATACCGTTTCTATATCACCATTATTATGAATCCCTTCAGCATGACCAAAATGAAGATGGTGAAGCAGAATTGCTGGAGTAACATAATTCTAGTTGTTTCATGTATATCAAAAAGTGTTTTTTTTGTCATAGTATGGCAAGCCACATACATTAGAGAAAATAATTATAGAGTCAAAAGTCAACACCAGGGGAACAATAGTAACAAAAAGTGTACAAATATTGGCATTTGCAAATGATGTTGATGTCATAGCTAGAAGCGAAAAACAGATTATAGAAGCATTTAATGCGATAGAAAGAGCGGCGCAAAACAGTGGCCTAAACATTAACGAAATAAAAACCAAATACATGAAAGCCAGTAAATCGACAGGCCAAAGAAACCTACAGAATCTGACAATAGAAGACTATAACTTCAAAAGCGTAAAAAACTTTACCTATCTACGTTCACTAGTTACCGCAGTTAACAATGTCAGTGAAGAAGTTAAGAGAAGAATACATATCGCTAATAAAACTAATTAAACATCTAAGATCTAACAACATCACAAGAAAAATCAAATGCAAAATATACAAGACCCTGACAAAACCAGTCCTTGTATCCTAGAACAAGCCAGGAATCCAGAAAGGATTGTCGAGCTAGTGATGATGATGATGATGACAAGCCACATAAAAAATGTTTTTTTGAACATGCCAATGAAATTTTTTTGTTTTTGTGAAATTTGTATTATAGATTACAAGCTTGTTGCAATTAAATCGGTAAAATGTAGAATAAATACGTTTCACATTTTATATTTTTTATTTAAACTTTAACACTGATTTACTCCCGATCACCATTTTGTCGCTTATCATATCATATATGACAATAAATCCTTTATTGTTATATACAGACCCACTATATTTCTGAATGAACTTTATGTGCTGATATGCTGGAATATACAATGTGTTGACTGCTCTTGTGAATTTTTATAATAATTATATGGTACTGATAAACATTTTATCGGCAACACTGGGGAACAAAGAGGTGGTCCAATCAACATAACCAATCTCTTGCAACGTCACCAGTCATGGTACCAGTCTCCTCGAAACTTTTGTGAACGGTAAAACGAGAAGTATATTTTTGCATTGTTTTGGTCTACATTTCAGTTTTTGACACATTCAGAGAGGTTAAGGTCAATATTGGAACAAAATGGATATTATTTTTTTCCTTCCTCTTGGGATTGCGATATTATATTTATTATCAGGAATACGCAAACACAAATCATATGTGGGTAGGTATCTTCTTTTTATTATCAGTGAGGATTAGCTCAAAATAAAGTACGAAATTTTTTTAAAGGTTTTGCATTTATGTTTATTTTTTAAAGAAAACAGCAATTTTTAACGAAATTTTAGTGCTTTATTTGATTTACAATAACTTTTTGCCCGGATAAATCAGGAAACAACTGAGTGCTTTCGGAAAATATGATAATTAGACAATAAACATTTAAAGAATATCAAAGATTCGGTAGTTTTTTCAGTTTTCGACATAAAAAAAGTACAAAAAAAGGCATTTCATTGTTTTTAATCTTTATCTACAGATAATTGACAAATCGTCTCATAATTTGGTTATAATTAATCAGAAAGTCTTTCACTGTACAGGGTGTCCAAAATTGGTATGTTTTGCAGGGTATACCGAAAACTAGAGAAGATAGAAAAAAGTAGTTAAGATGTCATGACTTCGTTTTTTTTTTGTTTGAGTAATGATTGCCCAATCAAATTATCAATAGCTCTTTACAGTGGCGAGATACAGGGCTATCATTGAAAAATGTCGAAAACGACATATTTTTAGGGGGTGAAAAAAATGTATAAATTTATTAAAAATTTTTTTTCGATTTTCTGAAATATATATCTACTTATAGAGGTATATATATATATGATGCAAATGTATGGAATGAATTTATTATTTCGAAAACAGACGACCTTTTAAAAAAACCTTAAAACACGTCAATTTTAATTTTTGAATGATAATCAACTGATTGAAAATGTCTCATTATCGCCTTTGCAACGATATAGTCATTTAAATATTTACTTCTACAGGGTTAACCAAAACTGTTGGTTTATTCTATCTAATTAGCCTTCTTCGGTCCATCTTTGGACATAGGCCTCCCCAATCCTTTTTCATTCTTCTCTCTCTGGCGCTACAGACATCCGCCTAGAGCCCACATGATTCTTGATATCATCTGCCCATCTCATTTCGGACTTTCCTCTGCTTCGTTTATATTCTCACTGTTTCCAACGTATAAGAATTTTGTTCCGTCGGTCTTCTTTTTGTCTTATATTGTGTCCGGCAAATCTCCATTTTAATTTTACAACTTCTTGTCTAACATCCCTCACTTTTGTTTTCTCTCTTATCCACTCATTTCTCTTTTTATCCATTAGTTTTATGTGCAACATTTGTCTTTCCATTGCTCTTTGGGTTTTTATGATTTTGTTTATGTCCATGTTTTTACAATAAGTGTTCAAATTAACGACCTTCAGCAATAATACAATGTAAAAAATGGGCAATAAATTCTGTTTTAACGTTTTCGATGACTTCAGGTGTTATTTGTGTAATTTCCGTTCTGATACGCTCCTTCAACTCTTCAACATTATTTGGTCGATTTTAATACACTCTGTTCTTTAAACATCCCCACAAAAAAAGGCTAATAGAGTCAAATCTGGAGACCTTGGTAACCATTCGATGGACCCCCTTCTACCTATTCACCTACCTGGGAAAAAGTTCTTATGGTAATTTCGTATCTCAACGCCGTAGTGTTGGGGAGCCCCTTCATGCTGGTACCACAAATCATTTTTATTTAAAAATAGCTGATTCAGCTGTGGCAACAGATAATCATGAAGAAATTCTAGAAAACGAGAAGCAGTTAAGTTTTCCTCAAAATAATATGGCCCTAAAATTTGATTGTTTATAATTCCGGCCCAAACGTTCACCTTCTCGGGATATTGTGTCCTATACTCTTCACGCTTCATAAAGAACACGCTTCATAAGAAAAAAGTACCTTTTGTATGAAACCCTGATCTTTGTTACATTTTTCCATAACGGTTTCGCAGAATTTAATTCTTGTATCAAATTCGTCTTCTAATAGCTCCTGGACCAGATATACTTTGCATGGATGCTACTTCTTATTTGAAGTTGATTGGTGGACATTATTATCTAGTGTGTCCTGACTTGAACTAGTATGGGGATTTTCTTGAAACTTTCTATGGGGAAGATCTTTAATATGGCCCAGCTTCTCTATTTTTTTTAAATTTTACTTACTGTTGATTGAGTAATTGGTTGGCGATTGGGATATTTAGTATTACATAAATTACGAACTTTTGCTTGAGTCCTCATTCTATCTCCATAGCCAATCACGATTAAAATCTCGATTCATTCTGTTTCTTTTAGTTTCATTTTTGTAAATGCTGTTATTAATGTAGGCAAAAAAAGCAAAGAGTAAAAATTTAACGTCTATTATTTGAAAGATTGACATATTATTGACAAATAAAGACGAGTCAATGATAATATTGATTTAAATATGTTTGAAAAATAACTTGGAATACTTACTACAATGATTAATTTCAGATTATAATGTAACATTGTTTGTTATCAATGTTTTTTTTTCGGAACCAACAAAAAACACCATTTTGTTTTATTTCCAGTGGCGTTTCTTAGTGTATTTTAGTTCAGTGAATGAATATTTATTGTAATTTCATGTTACATAACAAAGTTCATAATTTTGGTGAACCCTGTAGAACTAATATTCAAGTGATTACATAGTTGCAAAGACGATAAGGAGACCTTTCAATTGTCCTCTGTATTGACGTGCTGACGCAATGTCCAATAATGTAAGATTTTTTTTTAAAGACGGATGTTTCCTAAATAACGAATTTATTCCTCAAATTTGCATCATACGGTATAAATAATATAAAGTATAAAATAAATTCCACAAAATGTTATAAGGTTTATTGTATTCAATTTTAATTTTTTATATTAGTATTTTGTATGGCACTTAGCTTCCTTAAACTTTTATTGTCAAAGCGAACTTTTTGCTGGAAAATTTTAATTTATATATATATATATATATATATATATATATATATATATATATATATATATATATATATATATATATATTGTTATGATATGTAAAATCGAGAAAAATATTGGTTTGTTTAAAATATTTCAAAGTTCAAAAAACATTAAAATAATTCAGATAAGTAGGATAATACCCAACAAACATTTCGAAGAAGGAAAGTCTTTAACTTTTTGGATTACTGGGTCACTCATTTTTGGGTCACTTGAGTGACCCGCATAATTTTAAGTGAAATCCAAAGACAATTGAACCGGGTTTTCCAAATACATTAATGCAGTGATGAAGGACAATAGAATAGATTTTAGAAAGAGGTTTTTGTTAGTTTTTAAGAATTGTAGAAAAATATTATTTTTAAATAAGTTTTAGGAAATTTTGCTAAAGCTTTGATTGGCGGAGATTAAAAAAGGTGGGATAGGTATGTAGGAATGAAAGTTTAGCTAGATTTTTGAGAGAGAAAAGATAATCAGTTGGCTTCCAATGGTGCAAGGCGAACATCCTTTGTTTCTCGGGTAGTTTCCCAGAGGTAGGACGCAGTAGCAGTGAAAGTTTTTGAGTTTTCGTGTAGTTAGTGTATCTGACAGAAGCTGATCCAGTAAAAGATTGTAAGTCATATTTTTCTACTTATATTCCAAGAGTCACTGTTCAGGCCAACGAGAGATTCAGTTTATGGTAAAGAAAAGATATTCCAAGAGTCATTTTTCACTCAGGCCAACGAGAGATTCAGTTATTGAGAGAAGAAGAAGCTAGCATAATTTGAACGATTCGTGCATTTAAAGGAGATCATTAAGGACGATAAACTTGCAATAATTTGTTGTAAGATTGCTGATTACCTAGGGAGCGGCCGAGAGTAGATAATATAGTCTATAAGGAACAAGGATTTGGACCACTCATTATCAGAGAGAGATAGTTTTGTTTCTGCAGTTTTTCTTTTATTGATAACACAATTTTACACTTAATTTAGAAAGGATATAAATATTTTGATTAGGAGATTTAGAATAATATTTAGGATTTTGAGATTTCAACTAATATTGTTTGTACCATTAATTTTGAAGGTTCACGTACGTAGAACAAAATTTTGAGAATCATTATATGAGATATTGTTTATTGAAAACATTTGAGTGTGAATTTTATTTCATTATTTTTATTTCAATATATAATGTTAGATCATATATGTTTTTTATTATTCCGGTATTCTTTGGACCTTACCTTTCACATGTAATAGCATAGATATTGAAGCACGAATTTAACCCTGAGATAAGAGAATTAAAAAGTGTGATAGAGTCATAATCATATCATTTAAATAATTTTAATTAATTAATTAATTAATTAGCTAATTAATTGCTTGGCGCACCAAGACTTGAAATATCACAATAATATATATATATATATATATATATATATATATATATATATATATATATATATATATATATATATATATATATAACACTGTTTTTGATGGGTTGGAGTCAATAAAAGGGGCTATTTGTTGACTATTTTTTACTCGAGCTTTCAATTGTGATTACAATTTTTATCAAGAGCTTTTAAAAAATACAAAATGTCTTACAAAGTTGAACTAGAAATAAAAAGTTTTTTGTTAACTCACCAAATAAAATTAGTTTTTTATATAAAACTACTGCTTACATAATAAATACAAAAAATATTAATAAAAAAATGTCTTATTCTAACAAATGTTTCTCTGAAAAATTTAGATGAAGTTTCTTAAGAAAAAAAATTGAAATTATAAACAAATATAGAATAGCTACAACCAGCCTAAAACGTCATAAATAATAACTTAAAAATTTTTATTTTTGACATATTGTCAAAAATAAAATTTTGTTTAAAAAATTCTTCTTTGTTTAGTAACAAAAAAGAAGAAGATTTATTCACCATTGATAGATGCCCGGAAAAATGTAACAAATACATGGAAAATTCAAAATGTGATATTTTACTGACTGCATAAATTAAATAGAAATTATATAATTATAAATTTTGCTTAAATTTTGAATTTCTGAGCTTTTGTTTAAATTATTATCACTTTTGCTAATACAAACCATTTCCAAAAAAGTTCTTTTAAATTTATTACTTTCATTACATAAAATTTTAATATTATCAAAATCCATAATATGGTCTTTGTCTATTACATGCTCTGCCAAAGCACAAGATGGTTTCTTAATTCTACAATCACTCTTGTGAGAAATAATGCGATTAGAGAGATTTCTTCCAGTCTCACCAATATACTCAGCTTCACACTGAGTACAAACAATGCTGTATACTACATTTGTTTGATCTAATTTGTCTATAGGATATTTAGTTTTTAAATATAAAGATGAAATAGTTTTGATGTTCTTTGTTGCTATTTTTATATTGTCAATAACCTTTAATGTTTGTATTAATTTAGGAGTTAATGATGGTATAAAAGGTAGTGAATGATAATATATGTTTTGATTGTTGGATACAGTGTTTTGAGATTTAGCAAAAAATGCTGTTAAGTTATTTATATTTAATAAATTAGAAAAAAACATCCTATGTAGCATATCAGGAGGATAAGAGTTTTCAATTAAAATATTTTTTAACAAATGAAGATCTTCTTGTAGGTAGTCTGGATGAGAAAGTTTTAAAACACGTTCCTTTAATCCTGTTATAAGGTTCATTTTCATTTTATTTGGATGATTAGAGTAATAGCTTATAAATCTATTACTACATATGGGTTTTCTGAACCATCTAGTTTTCAACATATTGTCTGTATTTCTTACAATTCTCATGTCAAGGAATGGTAGAGAATTATCTACCTCTTCCTCAACTGTAAATTGTATATGTTGATTATGATTGTTGAAAATGTTGACTGTTTCAAGAATTTTGTGTTTAGGAAGTGCCAAAACTAGATCATCTACATATCTTTTGATAAATGGAATGAAAAAAGTGCAATTATTGATACAATCACTAATAACATCATCCATGACATAGCTACTTAGAATGGGTGAAAGACTAGATCCCATAGGGCTACCAAAAATTTGTTTATAAAAAACACCATTAAATATAAAAATATTAGAATCAAAAACAAAGTTGATGAGTGTTTTAAAATGTAATAAGTCAATATTAGTATGTTGCGAAATCTCATTCCAATGTTTTTCAACACTACTTATGATTAAATTTAAAGGTAAATTAGTAAAAAGAGATGTTACATCAAAACTAACTAAAATGTTATTAGTGATTGTATCAATAATTGCACTTTTTTCATTCCATTTATCAAAAGATATGTAGATGATCTAGTTTTGGCACTTCCTAAACACAAAATTCTTGAAACAGTCAACATTTTCAACAATCATAATCAACATATACAATTTACAGTTGAGGAAGAGGTAGATAATTCTCTACCATTCCTTGACATGAGAATTGTAAGAAATACAGACAATATGTTGAAAACTAGATGGTTCAGAAAACCCATATGTAGTAACAGATTTATAAGCTATTACTCTAATCATCCAAATAAAATGAAAATGAACCTTATAACAGGATTAAAGGAACGTGTTTTAAAACTTTCTCATCCAGACTACCTACAAGAAGATCTTCATTTGTTAAAAAATATTTTAATTGAAAACTCTTATCCTCCTGATATGCTACATAGGATGCTTTTTTCTAATTTATTAAATATAAATAACTTAACAGCATTTTTTGCTAAATCTCAAAACACTGTATCCAACAATCAAAACATATATTATCATTCACTACCTTTTATACCATCATTAACTCCTAAATTAATACAAACATGAAAGGTTATTGACAATATAAAAATAGCAACAAAGAACATCAAAACTTATTCATCTTTATATTCCAAAACTAAATATCCTATAGACAAATTAGATCAAACAAATGTAGTATACAGCATTGTTTGTACTCAGTGTGAAGCTGAGTATATTGGTGAGACTGGAAGAAATCTCTCTAATCGCATTATTTCTCACAAGAGTGATTGTAGAATTAAGAAACCATCTTGTGCTTTGGCAGAGCATGTAATAGACAAAGACCATATTATGGATTTTGATAATATTAAAATTTTATGTAATGAAAGTAATAAATTTAAAAGAACTTTTTTGGAAATGGTTTGTATTAGCAAAAGTGATAATAATTTAAACAAAAGGTCAGAAATTCAAAATTTAAGCAAAATTTATAATTATATAATTTCTATTTAATTTATGCAGTCAGTAAAATATCACTTTTTGAAATTTCCATGTATTTGTTACATTTTTCCGGGCATCTATCAATGGTGAATAAATCTTCTTCTTTTTTGTTACTAAACAAAGAAGAATTTTTTAAACAAAATTTTATTTTTGACAATATGTCAAAAATAAAAATTTTTAAGTTATTATTTATGACGTTTTAGGCTGGTTGTAGCTATTCTATATTTGTTTATAATTTCAATTTTTTTTCTTAAGAAACTTCATCTAAATTTTTCAGAGAAACATTTGTTAGAATAAGACATTTTTTTATTAATATTTTTTGTATTTATTATGTAAGCAGTAGTTTTATATAAAAAACTAATTTTATTTGGTGAGTTAACAAAAAATTTTTTATTTCTAGTTCAACTTTGTAAGACATTTTGTATTTTTTAAAAGCTCTTGATAAAAATTGTAATCACAATTGAAAGCTCGAGTAAAAAATAGTCAACAAATAGCCCCTTTTATTGACTCCAACCCATCAAAAACAGTGTTATATTTTTTCCAAACGAGTCACAAGTACTTCTTTTTTCTTACTCTTATATATATATATATATATATATATATATATTATATATATATATATATATATATATATATATATATATATATATATATATATATATATTATATATATATATATTTCCGATGCAGTTGCTGCAGTCATAAAAAAAATCAAAACCTCGACAAATACAATTATCATATTTTATTTATAAATGTATCTTAACAAAATTAATGACGAATAAGGCTGCAATGAAAACAGTATTACCTAGGGTTTATTTTTAATGGTACATATTTCTAGAAACAATGGATTTTTTTGTTTTTCATTAGCGAATAAAATTTGCAAAATTTTTACAATGTGGAAAATTTCTTAATAAAATCCGCGAGTCCCTTCGACATGTAACATGCCATCTTCAGAGCTTATTATAGGTTACAAAACTCTGATTGCATGCTAAATGCCAAAAGCACTCAACTGATTTTAATAAAAATTTTTACAAATCATCAAGTGTTTTTGAGAACATACACCTGTTACTAGTTTGACCTATATTTTAGAAGAAGTATGTACAAGTCATACAATTTATTACCTTATTAAATTTAATAAATAATATACTGTATATTAAATAAAATTTTAACTCAAAACCGCGATAATAAGGGTGGTGCCATCTGTTGAAGATCGACAAAAACTGAATTTTTCAGGCACTGGTAATTATATAACAGGATATGCTGATAATGAAGATTCTTTTAGGTATCTCCGCAAAAACGCAGTTCCTCTACTCTGTAGCGGTTCTTGTAAATTGCAACGTTTCCATAGTCTACATATTGCTCATAGTAATTCCCTCAATTGTGGCTTTTGCTTTAGCCTTTAAGATGAGGGACACGTACGAAAAAGAAGCGGACAGTTTTTGGGCAGAAATTCTTCTTACAGCAGCTTTGATTTTCTCCATTTTCTTCTATCCTTATTTTTCGTCCTTTGGGGTAAGTTTAAAACTATAATTGTCTACAAGTTACGAACGTTTTTTGGCAAATAATATAAGTTTAAAGTACAGACAAGCAAAATATTTATTATTAAATAAGTTTTTTTTTTCTCATTAATTATATTAGGCATACATATCCTGCATAAAATAAGTAATGACAACATGCAAAGAATTATAGATTTAGCAGGAGACAAAAAAATGGTGATAAGCAGTACAAAGTTTCTACACAAAATATCCACAAAGAAAAATAGGTTTCTCCAGATGTGAAAACAAGAAATCAAATCGACCACGTTTTAATAGAAGCAAGACATGCTTTAGAAATTTCAGATGTGAGAAGTCACAGAGGGGCAAATAGCAATTCCATTCACCAACTTGTGTTAATTAAATATAAATAAAAAATTAACGCCAATTAAATAAAGAAATGAGAAAAAAGGTCAAATATACTTCAAATATATTGGCCTCCAATAGTGAAAAAAGGGCAAGTTATGAAATAAATGTAGAAAACAATATTAAAAAATGTAATAAAGCTAAGTTCTATAAGAACATCAACAGTATTATATAGAAAATTCCTCGACAGGAAGTTCTCATCATTATGGACGATTTTAATGCCAAGATTCGCAGAAGACTTAGAACTAGTTGTCACCAATACATTCTTCCAATTACCAACTCGCAAGCTGTACACGTGGAAATCACCTCAAGACAGACCCGGCAGAATTATTAGAAATCAAATAGACTACATTTTAGTAAATAGAAAATTTCGAAACAGCTTTACATTTGTCAAGACTTATCCTGGAGCAGACTTAAAGACATACCACGTTCCAGTGGTGGAAGTATTTCAAGTCAAGCTTAAAACAGTGCAGAAAAGGAAAGCACAATCATACGACCTCTCTCTCTTCAATCCTGACCCCCCAGGGGGAGTGTAGTGGTCGACGTGATGTCGTGTATTGTCCGTCTCCAGAGATCTCTGTCTCTGGTCATTTCTTTTAATTCATGCATAGGTCTTTGGCATATTCCTGTAATTTGATCTATCCATCTTGTTGGGGATGTTCCTCGTGATCTTCGGCCTTCTACCTTTCCTTGTATTATGAGTCTTTCCATGTTTTCTGTGTTTGCTCTCATAACATGCCCAAAATGTTTTAATTGTTGGAGATGGACTTTACTAGAGAGTCGTTGGCTAACTTTTAGCTCTCTTAAAATTGAAGTATTTGTTCTACGGTCGGTCCAAGGAATTCGTAACATTCGTCTCCAGCAGAACATTTTAGTGACGTCTATCTTTCTTCTCTCCGATTGTCTCAGAGTCCAAGATTCACATCCGTAGGTCAGCATTGGGAATATTAAGCAGTTGATCAACCTCATCTTTATCGCTTTTGAAATTTGACATTCCTTCCATATTTTGGTCATTTTTGCTGTGGCAACTTTTGCTAGATCAAATCTACGTTTAATTTCTTCTTGTAATGACCCTGTGTTTGTGATTAATGATCCCAGATATAAGTATGAGCTCACAACCTCGAACCGGTCAATTGTGGTTATGTGTGGATGATTGTTGTGTAGTCTATCCACTATCATGATCTTTGTCTTTGATATGTTTAATTGCAGATCAAATATTTGACTTTCGTTTTCGATAAGTCGTATAAGTTCCATCAGCTCTGCTTGACTATTTGCAAGAAGGGCTGTGTCATCTGCGAAACGTAGGTTGTTTAGTTTATGACCATTTATTGAGATGCCCTTTTCCCATCCTTCAAGTGCTCTTCGCATAATATACTCCCCATATATGTTGAATTATTGTGGAGATAGTATACTATCTTGTCTAACACCCCGTTCTGGATGAAACTCGTTCGAAAGTGTGTCAAGTACTTTAACTGATATAGTAGTGTGTTCATATAGTTCAGTTATAAGCGTAATTAGATGTTGTGGTACGCCTACTTCTTTTAGTATTTGCCATAAGTGTCTCCACTTGACCCTGTCGAACGCTTTACGGTAATCTATAAAACAGATGTATAGTGGGATGTTGAATTCCCTAGATTTCTCGATTATCTGTCTTATATTCAGCAGGTGTTCTCGAGTGCCTCTACCTTTGGTAAATCCAGTTTGCTCTTCTGGAATTTGGCTTTGAAGGAATGTTTTCAGTTTCTCATTGATTATATGTAGCATTATCTTGCTGACATGGGATATAAGAGAGATAGTTCTATAATTGTCGCATTTATGGAAGCTGCCTTTTTTATGTATGGTCGTTATTGTAGATTTTGTCCAGTCTTCAGGCCATTGTTTGGAAAGCCATATTTGGTTACAGAGTAGATGAAGTAACTTTACGCCGGTTCCTTCTGTGGCTTTAAGCATTTCTGCTGTTATCATATCTGGACCAGCGTATGCTGAAACACCTTGAGACAAGAATGGAAGTCCAAGCCACGTTAAACGAGCAAGTGACAGATGAGATCCTGAAACTAATAAACGAGAGAAGATAAGTCAAAAATGATCCAGACAAATATAAAACCATAAATATATTAATAAGGACGAAAATCAGAGAAGCGAAAGAAAAAAGACGCAAGGGAAAGATGCAAAGAAATTGAGACTCTGCAGTCAAAGTACGATAGTCTCAATGTAGATAGGAAAGCTAAAGAACTCACAGAGGAAGCAAGACGAAGGCAGAAAGGAAATATAACTGATTCTGACAGAAACATCATCTTGGAAAAACAGAGTAAAATAAGAACTTGGAAAAAATATCTAGAAAATCTATTTGAAATCTTCAACGAGTGGCTAAATGAAAATTATTTTACACTTTCTGAACACAAAACAGAGGTGTATCTATTTAGCCGAAAACGAAACATTGAACAGGATCATGTAAAACTGAAATCTTATAATTTCCAAATAAAAAATGTAGTGGGATACTTAGGATTATATCTAGATCGAAAACTATTATGGAAAATTATATTTACAGATTGCAAAAGTGTCATACAGAGACTAAAAAATATAAGTGCGGCCAAAAAATTAAGTCATCTAGCAATAGAAATCCTACAGAACAATCACGAAATACTTAGCTTGCAACGGGAGGTGCTAATAGTTTGGATCAAAGGGCATTCGGGTATTCAAGGAAACGAAATTGCTGATAAGTTTGCAAAATCCGCCTCAGACTCACACAGAGATTCTATTAACCAGTGTATTTCATATACATATTTGAATTCCACACTTAAAGTTTAACTTAAGACTAAATGGCAAGAACTATATGACAGCAAACAAATAAATTATAAATCATGTCAAGTCCAAATCCCAATAATAAGATGGTTCCACAACCAAAACAACAGGAACTTTATTATTACTTTAAACAGAACAAGAGCAAATCATGCAATGTCACCACATGTCCTCATGTTTATGGGGTGAACTTGGAGACTTAACACACATTCTACTTGGTTGTTCATTAAATAGTCAAAGCACAGATAAATTTTATAATAAAGTTATTAATAACAAAATTTAACCATTGATATGTGTGGGTTTTCGATAAACAGAGTAATGAAAACCTTGGGATTGGTGTTTCTTGATGAAAACATAGAAAACTAGAATAGAAATCGCTAGATTAGTCTTTAATAGAATGCGCAAACTCTTTTGCAATCGTGATATCAATATAAAGTTACGAATAAGAATGCTGCGGTGTTATGTCTTTTCTACCCTGTTATATGGAGTTGAGGCTTGGACACTAAAACAGTTGATCATAAAAAACATCGAAGCTTTCGAGACGTGGTGCTATAGGCGCATTCTCAGAATATCATGGATGGACCGCGTCACTAATACGCAAGTACTCCAAACTTTAGACAAAAGATGCGAAATTCTAAATGAGATAAAAACTAGAAAGATGGAATACTTGGGGCACATTGTGAGAGGTGAAAAGTACGAACTTTTAAGAAACATCATGCAGGGAAAAATTAAGGGCAAAAGAAGTGTGGGAAGAAGAAAAACATCGTGGGTTCGTAATCTACGTGAATGGTTCGGGTGTAGTTTGATTGAACTTTTTAGGCGCGCTGCTAACAAAGTCGCAGTGGCCATGATGATTTCCAATCTCCGCTAGGAGTGGCACGAGAAGAAGAAGAAGATGAAAACATCGAGAAACGGTAGGGATGAATCAGTTTCCATCTCCATCGTGAACTGGATACTAGGATGTATACCATTCAGATGAGTTTGGAAAGACACTAAAGCATCCCTGCTTTATGTAGCGGGAGAAAGCAGAAAACTTGAAATTAAACTAAGCTATCTATTCAATCTTCGTCACTCATTAATTTGATATTTCTTCTTGTTGACTGCCTTTTTCCGTTTAAAATCTCACTAATTTAACTGTTTTTTAAATTTTTTAAACAAAGTTTTTGTCCACTTCTTAAAAAAATTTCTAATTAAAGATCTTCTCTAGCTAACGAGAAGAAACCACCATATACAATTTGTTAAATTTCGTTTTAACTTAAAATAATTTTTTATTTTTTAGATACTCTCTGCTTTTGGCGATTATATAGAAGCAGTAGCATTTATTCCCCAGCTATATATGATGTGGAACAGCAAAAAAACTACCAAACACATGAAAGTATATACCTACCTTTTATTCTTGCATAAGATACTGAACATATTATTGTGCATATACTTCTACTGGTTCATTGGTCAGTACAGTATAAGATATTCGGTAGTTTTGATTATAAATTTCTTAATTATGTTAGTTGCTGTAGTAACTGTACGCTCTAAACGAATTATCCTACACTCCGAAGAGGAAAAGATGGATACTAAAGCTCAAAATATCTTCCTCGTCAGTGCTGGGTTAGCACCACCCATTACAACTACCAAACCTGATGCTGCTCCTGATACCACAAATGAAGTGAACAAGCCGTCGTTAGTATAATGTTCTTATAAATTACAAATACGAAAATAAATTGAATATGTGAATTATTTTTTTATATACATTTGTACTTGTATACTGAATAAAAGTAAAAGATTAATCTCATATTTATCATTTCTGTAACCAATCAAATGCCATGGTATAGGGCTGCCCTATACCATAGCTGCTGCCCTATACCATGGTATAGGGCAGCAGCTATGTCATTACTAACTCCAAGGTTGGAAAGAATGAAGAAAGAAGAAGAAAGAATATTATGGATACTTATGGGCCACAATCAGATATTGACTTAATAGGTTATAATACTGCGGTGTGTAAGGCAAGGAGAAACCAACTTCTTCTTCTTACGGTGCCTTATCCTTAAGGACGTTGGAGATTACATTTGCCCATTCAATCATATTTGTAGCAGACCTGAATAGTTCTATGGAGGTCATGTTCGTCCATTGCCGTAGGTTTTTAAGCCAAGAGTTGCGTCTTCTTCCTGGTCCTCTTTTGCTATTGATTTTGCCTTCGATTATAAGTTGGAGCAGTTCATACTTTTGATTTCTTATGATGTGACCAAAATATTGTGTTTTCCGTTCTTTTATTATAAGCATAAGCTCTCTTTCCTTATTCATCCTCCGCAAGACTTCCGCATTTGTCGTATGGCTCATGTAGGATATTCTGAGCATTTTACGGTAATACCAGAGTTCGAATGCTTGAATTCTTTTTTGTGTTGCTTCTGTCATTGTCCAGGCTTCAACACCATAGAGCAAGGTGGAGAAAACATAGCACTTAAGTATTTTAGTTCTCAATGAGATGCCCAGCTGGCGGTTGCATAGAACTTTTTGCATTTTGTAAAACATTGTATGTGCCTTTTCCAGGCGTATTCTTATCACTGGGAGTGAGTGGTCCCAAGTTTCATCAAGATTACTTCCAAGGTACGTTGTTCTTGTTACTCTTTCCAGATCTGTTCCGTCGACATTGACCCTCACCCTTCTGTTTTGGTGCTTGCTGATGACCATCGTTTTTGTCTTCTTTGTATTCAATTTCATTCCAAATTCTCTACAGGCTATCGTTACTTGGTCCATTAAGCGTTACAGTGCTTCAGCATTATCTGCCAGTATGGCAGTGTCATCAGCATATCGCAGGTTATTTATGCATTGCCCGTTTATAATTAGACCATCCGAGGTACCTTCCAAAGCTTTCTGAAATATCTTCTCAGAGTAAACATTGAACAGCAAAGGTGATAGGACACATCCCTGTCTTACTCCCTTCTCGATATTGATTTTTCCAGATGTTTCGCTTTTTATTCTGATTTTAGCCTTTTGTTCTTGGTAGAGGTTTGAAATGATCCTTAAACCTTTATCGTCGATATTACATGAACTTAAAATATCTATTAGTTTATCATGTTTCATCAGGTCAAACGCCTTCTGAAAGTCTATAAAACACAAGTATACATCAGAATCGACATCTCTACATCTTTCAAATAGCACACGTATTGAAAAAAGTGCTTCTCTTGTTTCGAACCCATTCTTAAAACCAAACTGAGTTTGACCAGTGTGTTCGTCTAGTTTATTGTATACTCTATTGTGTATTACTCGTAGGAAAAGCTTCAACATATGATTCATCAGGCTAATAATCCTATGGTCTTCACATTTCTTGGAGTTTCTCTTCTTTGGTAGTGGTATAAACACCAATGTCAGCCAATCATTTGGTATTATGCCGGTTTCGTATATTTTGTTAAAAATATCTTCCATTACTTCGATGTGTTCGTCTAGTAATATCTTTATTATTTCAATTGGGATATTATCTTCCCCAACAGCTTTTCCGTTCTTTAACTGATTTGCCGCTTTGATAATTTCTTGCTTTATGATATAAGGTCCAGTCGATGCCTCCTGCATGTAAATGTTCGTCCTCTCTCGGTCTTGAAACATCTTTTCCACGTATTCTCTCCATCTACCTATTTGATCTTTTATGTTCAGTAGCAGGTTCCCATGTTTATCTTCGATGAAAGACGTAGGAGTTTCTTTAAATATTCCAGCGGCTTCTTTTACTTTTTTATGTAGATTGAAAGTATCATGTCTTTGTTCCAACTCTTAAATTTCTTGGCATCTTTCACTTAGCCAGGTTTCTTTGGCTTGTTGGATCTTTATTCTGATATTCTTGTGTATTTGCTTGTATGTTGTTTCTTTTTTACCTCTGTATTTTCTTCTTTCGTCCATCATGTTTAGAATTTCTTCTGTCATCCATGGTTTGTTCTTTTTTCGTGTATCTTGTTTGAGGTAGTCTTCTGTTACTTTTCTAAGTGTTTTCTCAATATAGTGCCATTCTTCCTCGGGAGTTTGTGTCGATTGTACTGTTCTGTTACTCAAGTGTCTATGCATTTCTTCCCGTATTTTTATTACCAACACACTAAAATATTCTCAAGATATTATAGTCCGTGGCAGACTTTAGATGGTCAAGGGGTGCTAAGAATCCCCACGACAAATGCTATAAACCACCCAAAAGTGGAAAACAAAAATTACAAGTTAAAAATTGGAACCTGGAATGCAAAATCTCTCTTTATGCCAGGAAAATCTCATAACATCGTGAGAGAAATGAAAAGAATGGAAGTCAACATTCTCGGAGTCAGTGAAGTTAGGTGGCCTGGATCTGGACAGACAAACATCGATAACTATGTCATATACTATGCTGGTAATGACGATCCTCATCATTATAACGAAGTGGTATTTAGAGTTGACCAGAAAAGCTGTCAATATGTCAATGTGGGAAAAAAGAGGAACAAAAATAGATGGAGAAACCCTCAATCATCTGCGTTTTGCCGACGACATAGTACTTATTACCGAAGATCTGGGTGAAGCACAACAAATGCTACAAGAATTAGAAAACATATCTTCAACAATAGGTCTAAAAATGAACATCAGTAACACCAAATTTATGACAAATTTAGTTCCCAGCAAACACCTAATTATCCAAAATAAAGTGGTAGAATTGACAGAACAGTAAATACAGATTTAACGAATTTAAAACGGGTCATACAATTTAATATATGTCTGTTTGAACTGCATTTGAAATAGTGGACCAATATAAAACTTACACAAAAATAAATCCATACCTGGGTAAAGACATTGTATAAAATATCGTTCAACTATCTGTCTCGTAACAATGTTGTTTGCGTAAAGGAAGCGATAATAGTTCAGTAAATGAAGCTCGAAAAAAGTTAAAACTTCGCAATTTTTTCGTCCTGCATGGATTGAGTTGAAATTTTAACAGAAGGTAGGCGATAGCTTAAGGATCAAAATCTATATCGAACCGAAGTGCGCTGAAGGGTTTTAGGGGTAAAAACTACCCCTAATTGTCAAAAATTATAAAATAACATTTAACCTGAATATAGGTAAGATTTGGTTTGAATTAGTTAAATAATAGTTATTTTATACTTTTGAATAGAGTTTCATCATACTTTAACCCTTAAAAAGCAACCCTTGTTAGAGATTAATGTAAAAAAATTACTAATTTTAAAAAAATGATTTCGCCTTGGATCGATTTGGATAAAAATTTGGATTTAAGTTCAATTCACCCACTGCTATATAGTTTATGTCATGTCAACGAACCCTGATTGTTCTTAGGGTTGAAAACTACCCCTAATTGTCAAAAATTATAAAATAATATTACATATTTAAGATGAGTGAAATTTGGTTTGGATTAGTTAAATAGTGATTTTTTTATACTTTAAAATACAATTTCATACAATTTTCAACCCTTAAAAATGAATTGTTATGAGTGCTATAGGTAAAAACAATTTTTTGCCAAAATTTTGCAACTTTTCAACTTTTGATAATCACCCTTTACAACATTTTACAGCAGTTTTTATAAACTAATTTAATAGATATAAATTGAAAAAAAGTAGAATTAAATACAAAAAAATTTATCAACATAAAAAGGCACCATATATTCTTATATATTTACATAAATAGTTGAAAATATTTACATTTATAGGTAAAACAATTATTATATTAATTTTATTCGTCATCAATTACATCTTCATCGTGATCTATGTCATCCTCATCTTCTTCAATTATTGGTGGACTATTATTGCACCCTTCACCTGAGCACCCAGAACAAGTAAAGTAACAGTATAAACCAACTTTTCTATTCCCACATGAAACGCCGCATCCTTATTTGCATTGGCAAAAAATAATGTTCAAAAGTACATCGGGTGCAGGTTGTTTGTTCATGCGTACGGGTAATAACAAACCATCTTTGGAATACCATCCCCAATCTGTTGCTCTGATATTTTCATTACCAAGCCATAGACATATGAGCAGATATTTTATTCTGTTGTATGGGATTTCAAAATAAGAACGCTTAAAATTTCGAATGTATAACGCCCCACTACCTAATATACCGGTTTTGTATATTATTATGCGAAATGTACTGTACTATACTAATGGAATTTTCCGGAAAAAAATTAATTGGTTTTTTTAACGTATTTCCTACATTTTTAACGATAGAGTGTTTCTTCAAGAACGATTTTGTAGAGGTTTTTAAGAGCGACAAGGATCTGTGAATTAAATCTTTTTGGAACCCTTGGTTTTTAAATGGGGTGAGTTTAAAGGGCTCAAAATCAGGCACCTCAGATGGTGCTTGATCGTAAATTGATGCTTTAAACAGCTATATCTCGCCAAATATTCATTGTAGAACAAATTTAAATAAACGAAAATTTTAGTCATTAAAACAGCTACAATTTAGTACATTTTTATTTTTTTCATATATTCAGTATTTTCGGGGATATTTAAAAAAAGAAGGGTAAAAAATATGAAATTGTAAATCGTTTCTCGCTTTATGCTGTACTTTTTCTAAAACTAAGCATTTTAATTGGGTCAAACTTCTTAGACATATTAACAATACATGTACAAAGAAAATTGCAGAAGGGTAAAGATCGATTTTAATTATGGGGCTGGTTAGGGGATTGTTTTCATCGATTTTTTCGTAAAAAAATGAGGTATTGACCTTATTTTCATCATAACTCATTCAATTTTTGAGCTAGAGTCTTGTTTTATGATAGGTCTATTTATGCTCTTTAAAAAAGGTTCGGTGAGTTTTCTTCCAAAAATGCATCATTTTCC